TTCCTTTAAGCAACAAACTATCATTATTACCAATTATCTCCATGATCTCTTTTTTACTCTTCTTTGCTATATTAAATTTCATTATTAGATGTTCAGGTTTCTGAAGAAGTTCTAACAAGTTCTCATAATTCAATTCTAACTGAGTCTCTGCCTTCTTGAGATTTTCACAAAAATCCATTATATATATCCAACTATATAAGCGATTTTCCTTTAATAGCAAAGAAATATTTTTATCAGCATTTAATAATTCCACTTGATATCTGAAACACTGAGATTCTAACTCTGTTCCATTCATCGTTATTAATACTTTATATTTTTTGTCAGCTTCTTGTTTGATAGCAATAGTCATTACAAAAATTCCTATATATATAAAATAAATAATTAAGTAATAAAATTATAAATGTTATGAAAATATTTACCAACATAGTAAAATCGTTATTTTTAGGGCTTACTCAACCGGGTCTCACAATGCAAATTCACCTCAAATATCCATTTAGTTGGTCATTGGCAAGCACTCTCTCATTGTACATGAAAATAACAAAACAAACATTTACTGATTTGGATAAAATTGATAGTTAAATAGTAAGACTCAAGCCCCGTTCTCAGAACTGCGTCGTGTCGACAGCGACACTGATTGACACTTCAAACGACCAATGGGAGCTGTACTAAATTTAAAATTGACAGCTGTTTGAATTTTGTACAAATCTGAAGCAACAACGGCGACAACGGCAACAACGGCAACAAATCTCATTGGTTCTTTTGTCGTGTCGCTGGCGACAGTCGCAGTTCTGAGAACGGGGCTTGAAGCAACAACGGCGACAACGGCAACAACGGCAACAAATCTCATTGGTTCTTTTAACGTGTCGCTGGCGACAGTCGCAGTTCTGAGAACGGGACTTCACCCGCGAGTACTCCGCCCCCTAGCCACTGACATCACTGACATTCTATTCAATATATCCCATTCCATATCTTCCATCTAATTCAAATATTATTCGGATCTATTGGTTAAAATCTTCAACAACTAGCTAGTGTCACCTGAAATAGTATAGGGGCTTCCCCCGGACGCAATTCTGCCGCTAAACAGATTCGCATCCCAATCGAATAAGCTATTTCGGTGGCTCACCATCCAAACGCCGCATCGTCAATCGAGAAGACATTATGGAGACCTCAAACTCTCAAGACCAACTCGAAGGCAAGACGTCACAGAGGTTTTCTTACCGTGGTCAAACGACCCCGTTGGCTTAAGCCCCGTTCTCAGAACTGCGACTGTCGCCAGCGACACGTCAAGAGAACCATCAGATTTGTACAAAATTCAAACAGCTGTCAATTTTAAATTTAGTACAGCTCCCATTGGTCGTTTGAAGTGTCAATCAGTGTCGCTGTCGACACGACGCAGTTCTGAGAACGGGGCTTTAAGTCCCGTTCTCAGAACTGCGACTGTCGCCAGCTACACTTCAAAAGGACCAATGAGATTTGTACAAAATTCAAACAACTGTCAATTTTAAATTTAGTACAGCTCCCATTGGTCGTTTGAAATGTCAATCAGTGTCGCTGTCGACACGACGCAGTTCTGAGAACGGGGCTTTACAGTCAAACGAATTGCAACTATATTAGTCAAAAGACTCGCAACCTCCATTTGTCAGCTCTATGACAAAACACAACACTACACAGCCGGCCGGCCTATCAACGACTGACTGACAGCGTTGTTACAAGGGCAAAAATTTTTGTACTATAAATGGTGTCGAAATTGTACTTTTTTAAGTGGGATTGTACATTTTTGGTGCAAAAATGTGGGGTCATGTGATCTCTCTATTTACAGCAGCGTTGCCAATCTTTGTGGAATTCCACAAAATGTGTGGAATTCGTAATAATGTTGTGGAACGTTTGTGGAATAGAATAAATGTGGAATTTTGTGGAATTTTCGGAATTATTCTTTTTTTCCTTTTTTTCCCCTTATTTAGCTAATAGTAAAAAAAAATTAGAAGACTCATCATAATTTTACAGATTTCTGTAAAAAGAGCGTCGCCGTGGAGGTCAGCAGCTAGGTTCGGTATTTACAAATACGTTTAAATTACCTATACGGAGGGTACCGCTTAAATTCCTGTCCCGATGTTAAAGGATGGCTATAGAATTTCAATGCATTTCCTACATAAGTCTATCCTTGTGTGGTAGGAGGTTTGACTAAACAAGGATGAACCTATGTCTTGAAACCATTCGACTCGATTTTCTGTCCCCTTCAATACTGGGACATAATATCTCTCATTGCTCTTATGGGGAGGCCGCGGTATAGGTAGTTTAAACGTATTTGGGTATTTAGATCTGCAAGCAATCCAACGAAATTTTCGACATATCACATATCACACGTCACTATATTATGTAAAATCCCTTTAAGATCACGTGGTTTATATAAAAAAAATGTCGGATTGGTCGCAGACCTAAAGACCGAACCTGGGGCGCTATTCTGTAAAATTGTCGGTATCGGTAAGTTACGACAGCTCTCGATACGTATTTGTATATAATAAAAATGGGTATACCTAAAAATGTGTTAATTGTTGTTCTCATAGTTACCGATCGGTCCTATGGCAGATATCGTAAATTTGTACCGACGAAAATCGGTATCTCTACCGGTAACTATGACAACAACAATCAACACGACGCTCATTGGCCGTACGTACCGATAGCTGTCGGTAACTTGCCGATACCGACGATTGTACAGAATAGCGCCCCTGGCTAGTGATTGTGGAATTTTGTGGAATTTGGGTATGTTCGCCGTGGAATATAAGTTTGGACCATTGGCAACGCTGATTTACAGTACTTCTGTCCGTTCTGTAGCTACGGGGTATCCGTGAGAGGGGAAACGATATTCTCTGGATGTTTTTCGTAAAAAATCGTCAAATCGTCACTCGTCAAATCGACGTATAAAATATATTGCTGTTTATTTAAATGTTTTTTGTCCGCATTCCTTTCATAGACACAGATCCAGCAGAAGTACTGTACCTTTTTACCAAGTTTTGGTACGTAGGGTGCATCCACACTATCCTAAAAACAGCGGAACGGCGTATTGGCTTAACGACCTTGAATCGATTTCCTGCAATTCTATTGGCTGAAATTTTTGCCAGGTGAATTTGACAGATAAAATTTCTGACAGATGAATTTTTCAGCCAATAGAATTGCTGGAAATCGATTCAAGGTCGTTACGCCGACGCCGCCGCCGCCAATCCACTTTTTAGGATAATGTGGATGCACCCTACAGAATTATACACCATATGCTAACCTCCTTTCACGCAGTTGAGCAGCTCTGAACTGTTTAAGAACGCGATACTCTCCCTCCATTCAATTGAGTCATAAAGTTCAGAACTGGTTCCGCGCCATATGGAGGCACCAGGCTATCTCGCACAGCCCCTCTCAGAACCGTTCTGAGCAGCCCAGGGCGTAAAGCTCTGGAACTTTAAATCGGAACTCTGGCTCGCAAATGGAGGACAGCAATACAGAAGCTACAAAGAGCGTTGAATAGCATTGGTTAAATGGGAACTAATTGCGTGACGTCACGTTTGACATCGGGACACAATAGATCTCTAAGGTCGCAGTGATTAGCCCCCCTCCTAGTCACCGCACGGATATCAAACTTACGTTTGACATCCGTGCGGCTTGAACAGCATTTCAAGTGATGTATAATTCTGTGCCTCTGCTCCTAGCAACCTGCATTTCAAATACACGCATCGCGTATCACCGTTCGTCTAAAAATATGTACGTGGGTTTAAGTTTGGGTTAGTTTGTGTTTGAGAAGTAAGAATTGTACATTTTTTCTTGCAATTGTACCTATGTACTCCTCGACTATCAAATGTACCCAAAATAGTACAATTGTACCTATTGTAACAACACTGCTGACTGACCTGCCGCCCATGGTACAAAGCACAAGGTACAAAGAATACAAGGTATGATATTGCGCAGGTTGGTCGCTACGTCACAGGTGATAACAGGCGCTATTGGTCAGCACGCTCCGCGCGCCAGTTCAAATCGTCCAGATATTGTTATAAACCATTTATAAACCTGTTTTTTTGTTTATATACCGTCATTGAATTATCGCTAAGCAAGTTACTGTGGAGCAGTGCGTAAGGAGTCGGGCTAGGAAACGAGAGACCGGAGTTCGAATCTCGGCCGGGACATAACTTTTTATTTATTTTTTAAATACTGTTGTATTCTATAGTTTATTTTTGTAGTATAAAAAAAAGAACTATTTATTCTGTTATTTTAATCTCCGTTATTAATATAAATTGATTGTTAGTACAATACCTCATTTAATATAAAATAATATTCTACTTTTTGAAATGTATCGGGCCCTAATTGTACCTAAAAGTAATATATTTTTAGTGATATACCATATTGTAAACTATTTAATATATCAGTCCCTTAAAAGTTAATTTGCATTGAATAATTGCCTACCATTAAAGGAAATTTGAGCTATATAATCCTTGATGGGCATATTCTGGGTATGCAAATACTTCCTCTAAATTTTGGGTTTCGTTCAACCGATTTATTCTCAAAACCTGAAACATCTACATAAATTATAATAAACTCTTCACCCTTGGAATTACTTCCACTAATTATAATAAACTCTTCACCCTTGGAATTACTTCTATCACAATTACAATACATTCATCTGCATTGGCATTTTCTACTTTTCGATGGGAAACTTCAACTTCCCAACATTTTTTAAATGACGTAACAATTCCTCTTGTGGTTACTTTTCCATAGATATCCTCATCTCTGTCCTCATGTGAATTCAGAGGCAATGAACATGAAAATTATTTACCATAAACATCGCAAACTAAAAACCTAATAAACAATTTTATACCGAATATAGAAATAAATTTAGTATTCTTACCAATTATCGTCCAAATCCATGTTAATATATAATTATTATTTTTAAATATATTTTTGGAACTGCTGGTTTTAGTAATTATTAAATTAAACGAACTAAAAAGTCTTAAAAATAAACAATTCTTAACCATAACCCCAAAAAATGCAGATCTCCTGTCAACTTTCATTATTTTTGATTTATTCATTATTTTCATATTATTTTCCTAGTGACGTCACAGGTGGTATGCGCGAACTGAACGAAATTGGAGCCGCTATCGATCATACCTTGTATTCTTTGTACCATGTTGTAGATCCGATTTCCTGGCACATATTCCAATACAGTTTGAGCAAAAAAAGGTTTAAGCGGTAACAGCTTCAAGAAATAGAATCTTTCTTGTCCAGAAGCACGGCATGAGTTGCTCCAGTTAATTCGACCTTTCAGGGAAACTCAGCTCAAGTCTCGACAAAAAGAGCACCACATACATATTAAAAAGGGAATTACACATGTTTTGTCAGTTCATTGCTATTTTTACTGATAAAGTACCAAATACCTTGAGGATACTTATATCAAAATAAATAATAACCAAAATAAATAATGCGACTTATGTTTTATTTTAATTTCGTGATAAATGATTTACCCTAAATATGATGTACAAATACTACTCAAAAGTGATTTATATACAGACTATCATATGTAAGTGTGCACTAAATATGTGAAAGAGATCATGTCAAATGCTACAGATGTATAGTTTATCTGAAGTCAGTTGGAATAGAATGGGACTCCTAATTTCGGCACTGTCTTTGTCGGCGTCCGCTGGAGAAAAGACTTAAGAGTCTCAGTATCTCCAATTGACTTCGGAAATACTATAACAGCACACCGATCGGTAGCAAATTTAATATTTAACAACAAAAAATAAGAATAACTTAATATATTTAAAATTGCGTTTAAAGAAATAACACAACCATAGAAAGTGAAGAACAAGCCCACATTTATAATAATTTAGGGTCTTGGAAATTTTTTACAATTGAAATAAAAACAAGCGAAACTTACAATTTTAATTTGTTACAAAGTTATTGCGGAAGAATATTGTGTATCACAAGCAAATCCTCAATATACACTAATAAGAATTCTCTTATATGGAAGTAGGGTTACAAGAACAGAAATTTCAAAATATATAAAAATTTGATTATTCAGCTGTACGGTAATACAAACTCAGACGAATTTAATTCTGAAAATCTTCGTTCTTTACTTGTGATGATTAGTTTAAATTAATAATTATATTCGAAATTCTACTCCAAGTTAGATAAGTTACTTCAATATAAGAGTATTATAACAATTTGTAAAGAGTGACGACACTATTATTGCACAAGGTGTTCAATGATCTAATAAAATATATATTTAAGATTACTGTCAGTGGCACATTTTTTATAATCATGTTTATTTTTTCTAAGTTAGTTTAATTAATTAAGAGCACCATTAAATAAAATAACACAAAAGGAAAATTTATCAAAATCTTTCTTTTTCCCCTCATAAAAACATTAATAAACTTATGGGTATATCAAGAAAATTACATTTTTGATAAATTTTTATACAGGAATTGTCTGTAGAATAGGCTATTTTTTAGAATCACCTGAAACGTCAGAAGGAAAAAGTTGAAATGTTTTTGAAATGAAACTTCTTTAAGCACGATGGGATTAAAAATTCAAGGCCGTGACACACGAGGGGCGTCAAGAAAAGTGGTAACGATCGGGGGTTAAGACGGATCGTCGTAACTCGGGCCCTGTGAGCTAGGGGGCTGAAACCCGGAATGTAGATGGAGCTCGAAGAGTCATTTTTGACGACGTTTCGTTGATATCTTCATCAGGATGGGACTAAGGATTTGATATTGAAGAAAAATGTGGGTCGATTTCGACATAACTGGGGACGGGCTACAGGATGACGCTCTCGACGTTTCGAACTGATGCCCCTAACCAGGATTTTTTTTAATTATGGGTCGATTGGAACCAAACTCGGCACGTGGATAAAGGTACCCGAATGGAGTTCTCAAACGGACAGACAGACAAAAGTAACAGGAAGTTTCACTTCAAATATGCGCACATAGTGCACACACATTTTTTTTATCCTATAATAGCTGTTCAAGACTATTTAGTTAAATTAAGTGAAAAATAATAAAACTTTCTATGGACAATCTTAAAAAGTAGATCAAGGAATATATGCTGCTTCCTAAAGTTACTGTACGGATTTTTTTTTTAATATCGACATCATCATCCTGTTATTAAATAGCTGCAAAACAATGTAAAATGTTTCAAGTTCAAGTATTATATCATACTATCATAATAATTTATCTATTTTTCACTTAAAAATGGGAACTGCATTGAATAGGTATTAAAATACCACGTGATCTTAAATAAATCTAAACAATCAAACTATTGCATTCATAATAATTTTATATTATTATGATGATTATTTTAAGTTTAATATTTGAAAGCGATAAGTAATAGATAAACGCTCAAAAAATAGAGCAATGTGTTACTATTATTTAAAATCACAAAATGGTCCTACTGTCGTAAGGAAAGAGAAAATATGTTTTCATATACACTCCGCATGTTATCGTTACCTAAATTACATATTTAAACCTCGTGTCATTGAAGGCCTTCTAACACCACCTGTATTTTAAAAACGCCACAACACGAACAAAATTGTTTGTTATTAAAAATATTCAGTAAAAGGTAAATATAATTTAGTTAAAATTTCAAAGTAAAGCCATTTCATGTCAATACAAGACAAAAATAAGCGACCAAAATTTTAAAAATAACCCAGCAAACTTTTTGTGTTGATCAGATAACTAAATCGATCCAAGTTAAAATAAATATGTATGTGTATAAAGTTAAAGAATAAATGTAAATATTGCATCCAATGACAAAAGGTCGTTAGAATGAGCACAACTTAAGACGCTCTACAGACTAACAAATTATTTACCTCTGCCTGCCTTACTAAGATATTCATAATAACCGCTATTATAGATAACGACTTTTTCCACAAACTGCATTTAAGCAACTATAATTCGTTAAAGAACTGAACGCAACCCCTATGTCGATTAAAAAAGTGTCGGTGGAAAACATCCAGTTAAGGAAGACACAATGCCTTCGTAGAAGGCGGGCTAGCTGCTGGACGAGACTTTGAGAGGTTCCTGCGGGCCAGCAGAAGAAGGTCCTTGGTTCGGACCTGCGCTAGGCGTCAAAGGGGTCAGCTGGGTCGTCTGTGCCATCAGTTTCTGCCGCACTTCACGTATCTAGAAGAAAATAATGTTAGAAAAGGCGTGACACTGCCGATAATGTACGACCATGTTAAGTTAGTTTATTCTATGAGAGGACGCGGAAGAGGAATGAGGTGGCGCCCTATGACGGCGTCATCCCCATAGAGAGCGGAAGCGTTATACGCTTCCGGAGGAGACGTATTTATAAGGTTTATAAGAGGCGGTGAAGGCGGACCGTGTCGCTCTCTGAATACATGGCCAAATCGATCGGAAATTTATATTGTTGTTGCCGTGGGATGGTTCCGTTAGTCGAGTCTGCCTTTTGCGTATTTTTTGAGCCATTAACTTGAATTAATGAAGCATATTTACCTTCAACTGCAGGCTTCCTTTGGTCGGAAAAATATCCGCATGCTCTGCTTGGAATTTGGTGGTCGCCTGTGAGGTGGGAAAAAACGAATGCTCGGCGAAAAGTTGCATGACAAGCGTGCGGCGCTGCTCGAGGATACGGCGGTGGCCCTTGTCCGCGTCTTTGGTCCCAGGAGTACGTGGCGTCCGCGGAGAGGGCGAAGTGGCCTCCTCGGCCTCCTGCAGCTCTCGAACGCTCTCCAGGCTGAAGTCGGGCCCGAAGAAGTGGGTGCCGGCCAGAGGCCGCGCCGAGGGCAGCGAGAGCGGCGCCTCAGCCGGGTGGCCGAGGGGGCCTTCCTCCTGAGGTCCCCTGGCAGGTGCCGTCAAGGGAGGGCGCAGACGGCAGCCGAACAGCCCCGGACTGGGGATGGAGATGGCGCTGGGAGACTGGCCTTCATTCGGTTGGAAACGGGGCAAGGACGAGAACTTGGCCTCGAAGTTGACGGCGTCCAGTACTCTAAGGCGATATAATAATAATCTTTATTTTAGCACCAGGGCTAGTAAATTAAAATACATATATACACACAGAGCTACAAGCTCACAGAAAACTTAAGTCTTTTTTGGACTTAAATCATTTTAATGACTTAAGTCACTTGATTTTAAGTCATTTTTCGAAAGCTGACTTAAGACTTAAAATTTAAGTCTGTTTCAAAATGACTTGTGATTTAAATCTTTATTCCTAAATAAAAAAAAATATTTTTAGAAAAAACTTAAGTCATTTAAAAATCATTTAAAAAGTAATTTTTAACAGCTTCCTTTTTAAAGTGTTAGGCGGCAGCCAAGCTGCAGAATAAAAAAAAAACAATGCTCAATGCCACTAGAAATAAAACATTAGTTTTTCGGAACCGGTTTTGATTATTTTTCGTGTTACGCGTGCGTAGTGAGTCTGTTGTCTTTCAAGTGAATCTCCGACTCCGTTATGTAGCCCGAAAGACGAAAGAAAGGAATTTATCTCGAATATATTGAAAGATATAAATTTTAGAAAAAAAAACTTTTTTAAAAACAAGCTTTTATTTAAATACACTAAAAAGAATAAAATAAACTTTTTCTTTAAAACTTTTATTATGAACTTATAACGTCATTACACAATTTTAATATTATATAAAAGCTTGGCTCGAGATTTGAGTGTACAGTTGCACTCATAAATATCTGGAACGCCAACTTAATCTTGCAATTCCTGGTCTAGTAATCTACAATAACACAAACTTTGAAAATGAGACAGGGTAGACACAGGTTTTAGCTAATTTACTTGTTTATCGATGTAGAGAAATCACGCGACAAGCTTTTATATAATATAAAATTGTGTAATGACGTTATAAGTTCATAATAAAGGTTTTAAAGAAAAAGTTTATTTTTTTCTTTATAGTGTATTTAAATAAAAGCTTGTTTTTAAAAGTTTTTTTCTAAAATTTATTTTCTACTTTTTAGTTATGCTGGTTTGTCAGTGCCACACACTTAAACTCAATTTTTTTTCTTAAATAACTTCCTATGGGCATCCTAATAGTATATCTTAATGGGGTAGAGGGGATCTCCAATATGTCGATTTTTATCAAAATCGGACAACTTTGAAATTTTTTTGACAGTTCGAATTTTTTTCTTTCATTTTAGCCCATGGCCATCCTATATATTGATTTTTATCAAAATCGAATAAATTTAAAAGAAATTAGACAGCTGTTAAATTTGACAGCTCAAAATGTTTTTTCTTTCATTTTAGCCCATGACCATCCTATATATCGATTTTTATAAAAATCGGACAACTTTGGAATTTTTTTGACAGCTGTCAAATTTGACAGCTCAAAATTATTTCTTTCATTTTGGCCCATGGCCATCCAATATATCGATTTTTATCAAAATCAGTTGACTTTGAAATTTTGACATGTCATTAAACTGTCATTTTTTCAAGATGGTCGCCCATATATTTTTTCATATGTATATACCCCCACAATATACCTATATATATATATATATATATATATATATTGTATATTATATAATATATATATATATATATATATATATATATATATATATATATATATATATATATATATATATATATATATATATATATATATATATATATATATATATATATATATATATATATATATATATATATATATATATATATATATATATATATATATATATATATAATTTCAACCCGATCCATTCATAAATATATAGAATTTTAAAAAATCAAAAACCTCAAAAATGCCGCCATTTTGGCCGACAAATGAAGCATTAAAATTATTACTGTATTTTGACAAAAACCTACATATTTCAAAAACGGTAAGATTAAAGTGCGGTAAACCTTAATCAAAATTAACTTTATTTTAATCGTAGAAATTAAAAATGTAATAATATACAGATACAGGGTATTCCATTTAAAAAAATACAACTTTGATATTTTTTATTTATTTGGGATGTACATATGTATGTATCTTGTAAAAATATTTTTTTTAAATTATAGCTCTAATAGTCCTTCAACGAACCCAAAACTTACAATTTGCAAAAATCTAATCGTTTAGCTACAATATTCCGTGTCGTATATGGTGAACAACCCTGTATAGTAAATAATCATTTAGAAATTTCACATATAAATCGAGATATAAATATTAAAAACAATTTGTACTACTCCTGCTCCTTCAAATAAGTAGACACTTTCTTGTTAAAAGTTAGTGGTACAAGAAATGCAATATGCACCGGTATAAAAAGGAACAGAAGCGCCGCAAGGGGCAACGTACCTGTCCATGCCATCCTCGATGTTGCGCTTGAAGAAGCTCTTCTTGACGCAGTGGCCGTCGGGACTGGTGTCGGGACCGGGCTGCGCCGTGGTAGCGGCCATCGACTGGCGCCTCTGCAGCGGCGCGCGGCCCAGCTGGGCCGGCGTCGGCGCCAACTTGAACTCGCCTCCGCTTCCTTCGCGGCTCGCGTCCTCCTCTCCGCAACCCGCTTCCAGCTTCTGCCTTGTAAAAGCTGCACCTAAGAATCGTACGCGTCCATCACTGTATCATATCTACTTGTTGTTAAGTTATGTTGGCAACATAGAACTTATAGGTTAGGGTGACAACTAACCTTGACTTTGTAATAACGCGTCTTGATTAATAAAAGTTAATTAATGTTAATAATTGTTTAACTAATAACAAAAACGAACCTATATACAAATAGTACACTCACTACCTAGAGGCGCTGATAACAAATACCGACCTGGGTTATTTGGCGTCGTTGGAACATGTTCTTCTGGTGCATGGACCCGTGACTGCTGGCTCACTATGACCGAATGGCTGGAAGCGACGCCGGAGTTAGGAAGATTGGGCAGTTGAAAGGCGAGGCCGCGAGCCGACTCGTAGTTCTGGGGTTGGACATAAACGCACTGGACTGGTAACTCCGAGGCTGCCGTAGAAGCCACCTGCACCATGAACGGTTGTCTTTCGGCCGATGACTCGGGCGCCGCTAAACACAACGTCGGAGTGTTGCTACCGATCAATACTGCCAGTGGGGATTGATAACTGTCAGGCGTGCCTTTAAGGTTGCCGCTCGATTTCAGAATGGTCAATGCGGGCCCATTAGCTACGAGACCATAAAATTAATTAAAGCCCATATTTAAGGTGCATTACAGGCCGTACGTGTTCATATATAATAGTAATTTTTCCGAGTAAAGGTTGATTCTCACTATACCTTCCGTTTATATTCCATATCCGTTCCGTATTTTTTATTGTATTGACGCTATACGTAAGGTTCCATTCCGTATCAGTTCCATACTTTTGACTTTTTATTGTACAATTTATATCATTACGAAAGTTTTATTTTAACAATTTGTATCTTTTGAAAAAGGTAATAGATTTAATTAAGAGGTGAAAGAATGAATAAATATCAGCAAAATTTTAACAGAGCTGGTACAAATGTAAGAACTTGAGAATGCTGTTTCCGATACGTTTGAGTCTTCAACTCTATGCTTCAGTCCGTCCGCCAAAAAAATGTATGGAAAGGATATGGAACGGAAGGGAAACGGAACGTCTAGTGTGCGTTATCCTATTCATTTACATGATATAATATTTTATGTAAAAGGAAGGGAAACGGAAGGGAGCTGATATGGAAGGTATAGTGAGAATCGACCTTAAATCGTAGCGACCGTTTCTCTCCACCTTGAGCACTTACCTGTAGAAAATGCGGTTGTGGGCGTCAAAGGTGAAGTTTTCGGTCTAAACACGGCGTCAGGGGTGGGGATTGCTAACGGATCTTCTACTTTAATTGGTTGCGGTGAAGACGGCACATTCTTAATGGGGTTTTGAAAAGAGTATGCACCGTGAAAAGACGGAGTAGCTGGACTAAACCCCCCAGGCTGCGACCCCACGTCTATGTCGCAGTGGGACTCCGAGTCCGAGTCGGTGACTTTTTCTTTGCATTTAAGATCGATGTCGTGTGACAGCGCGGCATCCACGATGACTAAATTGTCGTCATCCTCGTCTTCCAAAGGGCGTTCAATAGGACCGGGACTGACAGGCACGTCTCCTTCGCTGGTGGAACTAAGCTTACTACGGCCCGAACCTGTTGAGGATTTGCGCCGGTCCTTGTTACACCTGGAAAAAAACAACTTGAGAATCTCACCAAATGCCCTACCAACAACTAACCACTTCCACTCAGGGTGAGCGCGAAAGTGTGCTTCTTTCACTTCGGTCGCCAACTCGTGATACTTTTTCTTCTCCGCCGGGCCCAGCGCATACCACCACTCGCCTAGGATTTTCGACACCGTGCGATTGTCCTGATTGGGATGTCTCTGGTGGACCAGCCCACGATGCCGCTTGGAAAATATCATAAAGGCATTCATAGGTCTTCGAATGCGCTCCTTGTTATTCTAGGTGCAAAGAGAAAATACGGAATATAGGTCAACTTGGAAGGGGCTCGGCACTATATGCTATAAGCCAAGACGCCGGTTTTACTCAAATTGTTAAAGACAACACAAGAATAACTAATGTATCATCGTCATTGATCGACCTAATATTTACCAACGATTATAATATTGTGGAAACTCCGCGAAATGTTCCACAGATATCAGACCACATGATTACTGGATGCTATCTCGAATCACGTGATTATACAAGGCAACAAAAGCAGACACCTATAAACGCAAACTTAATGAAGAGTGCATGGACCAGATAACAGCGGAACTTTATACCAAGTCTTATGGTGCGTTTAGACTTGAGCACGCACGAGCTGAGCGTGCGCGCACGGCATTCGTTCGCGCTCTCGGCTCCGTTCAAATTAAAAACTTATTTTTCGACGAATAAAGTGATCCATTTGTGCGCGCTGAGTAGAGTTGTGTTGGCGAAAATAATGGACGACCAAGAGATAGTCGAGGCTGCAGTCATTGTTATGCACAGCTTAATTATTAAAAAGGAGAAAAATCGAAAACATCGTCGCTGGTGGCAAACCCAAATTTTTAGAAATCGATATAATTTACTGCAACAACTTAGTGCTTGAGGAGGGCTATGATCAGTTCAAAAACTTTACAAGAATGACCAGACCCGACTTTGAATATTTACAAAATTTAATAACACCAAAAATTACGAACAAAAGATACAAATTTTAGAATCGCAATTTCATTAATATCGACATATTCAATATTAATTTTATTTACAAGATCTTGCCATGCGTTTTTTTATTTTTAATAATACAAAGAATGTTTAACATCCCATAATATAGGCAACTTTTCATATTCTTCAATTAATAATAACGAAGATTTATTGATCCACTCCATAATTTTAATAAAGAACACGAAAAAAAAATCACACACACACGCACGAACGCAGACAAAACAAATTGCCGGTGCAAACTGAGCGTTCGCGCACACATAAAATCCCTTTGAGCACAGACCAAAAACCGACACCAGACGGCTCACATTCGCGGCTGCTCGCGCACAGACAGATTCAGAGTGAGCGTGCGCTCACAGCCGTTTACACTTGAGCATTCGCGGAGGATCAGTTGCTGCGTGCTCAAGTCTAAACGCACCATTAGAATTATACTTCAACAGATGTAGAAATTATATACAACTAGTGTGTACCCGCGACTTCGTTCGCGTCGGATTAATCATTTGTAATGGTGATGATCAAGCAAAGCAAGAATTTCCATTAACATACAAACTAAGATAAAATTTTCTTACATTTATGTCAGCATGAGAAAAAACAATATGGCGATATTATTATATAACTTGGTATAATATTTGAGGGGTAGTTTCATCTCGTTGGAATTTGACTTTCGAAAAATACGTTTGCCAAAAATAAGCTTTTTACGTCAAGCAGTTTAAACAAAATCGTGGTTAATCAATTACCCAACTTTTGGAACACCCTGTATGATTTTTTAAAAAATTTCAAAATATGTAAAAAACAAAATCAATTATGCGTGTCCAAGTGTTTTCCCCGAAAGGCTCGCCGTATTTATAAACAAATATTGTAATATTTGTGGGTCGTTTTCACCCGCTTGGAATTTGAAATTCGAAAACCCCCTCTTTATCGAACCTCTACACCCCACAGTCAATCCGTTTGCCAAAAATCAGCTTTAAACGTCAAGCAGTTTAAGTAGAATCTTGATTACTCAATGGTTATATTTTATAAAACACCCTGTATAAATTTTTAAAAAACCTTAAAATATGTAAAACAACAAAATAAAATATACATGTTTAAGAGTTTTTCCGAAAAACTCACCGGTTTTTAAATAAAAAATATTCTAATATTTGAGGGGTGGTTTCACCCCCTTAGAATTCGAGTTTCGAAAAATCCCTTCTTATCGAACCTCTACACCCTAAAGTCAATCCGTTTTCCAAAAATTAGCTTTTTACGTCAAGCGCTTTAAGCAGGATCGTGATTAATCAATGACCAATTAATCAATTTTTCGAAACACCCTGTATACATTTTTAAAAAATCTTAAAATATGTAAAAAAAGAAAATAAAATATACGTGTTCAAGCGTTTTTTCGGAAACTTGACCGTTTTTTAAATAAAAAATATTGTAATATTTGAGGGGTGGTTTCACCATCTTGGAACTGGAATTTCGAAAAATCCCTCCTTATCGAACCTCTACACCCCACAGTCAATCCGTTTGCCAAAAATCAGCTTTAAACGTCAAGCAGTTTAAGTAGAATCGTGATTACTCAATGGTTATATTTTATGAAACACCCTGTATAAATTTTTAAAAAACCTTAAAATATGTAAAACAACAAAATAAAATATACATGTTTAAGAGTTTTTCCGAAAAACTCACCGGTTTTTAAATAAAAAATATTTTAATATTTGAGGGGCGGTTTCACCCCCTTAGAATTCGAGTTTCAAAAAATCCCTTCTTATCGAACCTCTACACCCTAAAGTCAATCCGTTTTCCAAAAATCAGCTTTTTACGTCAAGCGCTTTAAGCAGGATCGTGATTAATCAATGACCAGATTTTTTCGAAACACCCTGTATACATTTTTAAAAATCTTAAAATATGTAAAAAAGAAAATAAAATATACGTGTTTAAGCGTTTTTTCGAAACTTGACCGTTTTTTAAATAAAAATATTCTAATATTTGAGGGGCGGTTTCACCCCTTAGAATTCGAGTTTCGAAAAATCCCTTCTTATCGAACCTCTACACCCTAAAGTCAATCCGTTTTCCAAAAATCAGCTTTTTACGTCAAGCGCTTTAAGCAGGATCGTGATTAATCAATGACCAGATTTTTCAGAAACACCCTGTATACATTTTTAAAAATCTGAAAATATGTAAAAAAGAAAATAAAATATACGTGTTTCAGCGTTTTTCGGAAACTTGACCGTTTTTAAATAAAAAATATTGTAATATTCCACCCCCCTTTTTACCCCCTTAGGGGATGAATTTTTAAAAATCCTTTCTTATCTTACGTAAACATCATAAAAGGAACCCCTGTGCAAAATTTCAGCTTTCTAGGGTCAAGGGTTTGGTCTGGGCGTTGATGAGTCAGTATCAGTCAGGACAGTCAGATTTATATATATAGATGACTTCATACAGAATATCAATGAAGTTGTAAATTCCATAGCTCCCTTAAAGAAAATTAATCGCCGTCATGCGGATGAACGCTACCGTATTGCAAGCACGGAATGAACGTGATCAAGCATATAAGAAATTTCATTTTACTAGAGCTCAAGTGGATTGGAGAAATTATCAACAAAAGAGGAACAACTTTGTTCATGTATCTACAGAAAAAATAAAATTTTATGAACAAAATATTGACAAGTGTAGAGGTGATAGCAATCGAATGTGGCACACACTGAAGCTGCTCATTGCGAATGATCGGGGTAGTGTGGAATGGAAAAAGATTCAATTTGAAAGTGAGGACAGCAACACAAAGGTCGAGAATAAATTTAATATATTTTATAGAGATAGCATTACACAAATTGCAAATAGTATCCCTCGTGGTACCTTAGAATTGGCGAATAGCCTAAAAGCAGTAGAGACAGAATTTTCCAGTTTTTCGCGGGTTACATTAAGCCACCGGCAAAGAAAAATAGTTTTTCAATTTAAAATAAGTCGACAGGTGATAATGTACTAAGTACAAAGTTGATGAAAAGTATTTTTTGTATAGTGGGTTATCCACTGCTTTATTTGATAAATACATCATTGTCTACGGGTAAAGTTCCCGAAGAATTGAAAATAAATACTATTGTACCGGTGCCAACAGTTCAGAACGCAAAAAAACCTGAGGACTTTCGACCAATTAATTTGCTACCTTTAGTGGATAAGATTCTGGAAACTATCGTTGCTGAACAGTTGAGAGAATACTTGGAAAAGGGAAACTTTATCTACTGTGGACAGTCGGGGTTTCGTGCAAAACATTCTTGCGAGTCCGCGCTGCAATATGTGTGTTCAGAGTGGTGTAATGAAGTAAATCGAGGGAACTTGGTGGTTAGTGTATTTATTGATCTGCAGGGTATATTTGAAACTATAGACCGTAGTATACTAATTGAAAAACTGTACAATTATGTTATTAAAAGTACAGTAATTGATTAATTGATTGGTTTCGTAGTTATTTAAGTGAAAGGTTTCAAAAAACTAGAATTAAACTCAGTGTGTCACTGGACATTGAAAATAAATTAGGAGTGCTCCAGGCAAGTGTACTTGGACCATTATTGTTTTTAGTGTATATTAATGAAATGAATAGGGTTATAAATAGATCATTTGTTAGTTTGTTTGCTGATGATACTCTAATTTCTGTTGCGGGAAGCAATTTTAACGGAATCGTCAATTTAATGAATAGCGAATTGGATATTTTGTATAATTGGCTTTGTGGTAATAAACTTAAATTGGAATGCTTCAAAGACGAAGGCGATGATTTTCGGAAGTTAAATAAATTGTAAGAAATTTACAGATAATAATTTTCTAGTGCACATTAATCAAGAGAAAATAAACCTTGTAACGGAAATTAAGTATCTGGGTGTTGTTTTGGACCTGCAATTGAAATTCTCTTTGTACATTGACTATATGTGTAAAAAGCTAGGTAAAAAACTAGGAATGTTTAAAAGAGTGTCTAAAGAATTGACTCTGTGGAGTAGAAAAACTGTTTACAATACAATAATCTATCCACATTTTCAATATTGTAACTCATTACTATTAGCATGGACAAGGCGAGATCTTCATAGGTTACAATAATTATTACAAAATAAGTGTATGAGAATCATTATAGGATGTAATAACACACCTGTAAAAACAATGTTAAACATTTTGCAATGGAACTCGGTATGGCAATAGGTTCGTTCCAACCCGCGTAACAAACAGTTTCTTACAGTAAGGAGTTTGCGCAGAAGTTGAAAAGCGTTTCACCCGGATTTACTGTCCGTTAGTAAATCATTTGTTTTCTGTTCCATCTTAAATTGAAAACTGTTTGAAAACTGTCAGAACGGTTTACAAAATTCATCATTCGACGCATGCGTATTACCGTTATAACCACGCCATAACTATTATAGCAAATTTGATTATACTCGTATATGTTTGAATAATTTAAACGGGCTGTTCAACTAATTAAAGACTTGAGAATAGATATCATAATTAAATCGTAATGAGTGACGAAGAGTATAGTATTAGTGACGTGTCGTCCATGGAAAGTAGTGATGAGGAGGATTTAGAATTGCTACTAGATGACCACAGAATTAATAATCAAAATTATTTAGGTAAAATCGACATTTTTGCACATAAATTTATCTAATATCTTACTGTGTTAATATTTTCAGAGTAAATCGAGCCTCAATATTCCAATGAAAAGTTTTCTTTGAACATTTTAGGCTTACAAGACAAAGTGCTAATCACGTGACTGAAAGGTTTGAAATAAGCCAGCATTTTAATAGCCAACTTGGCCAATATCACAATATTCCTGCTTTGCATCAAGTAAAATATAAAATAATCATTTACTGATTTGGAGTTCAAAACAGTTTATAATCATCTGCTGATGATGCTAACATAGTTAGCGAAACGCGCGTCCAGTGTAAAAGTAAAAGTGTTTTGGTGTATTGTGGTGATTTAGTGTTTTTATTTTGCTAAAAATTGTTGTTAAGTAGCATTTTTGCTAAATAAAGATTATTATTATACGAACCTTGGCCTCCTTGGTGTGCAGGGCGCTGAGAGACTGGGATCGTCGCTGAGGTGGACAAGCAAGCCTTCCCGGCTCCACGTGATCGCCGTTCTCCGACTCGAACACGTCGTCATCGTCTTCAGTGGACGGAGGCAGATTGTCGGCCTCGGGGGCTTCGTCTTCGCCCAGGTCGACGCCGGGCGATATAGGGGCGCGGCCTCCCCCCAAGACGGGCACCACCGCGTGCCAGGGAACGGCGAACGCGGATGCCGGGCTGCCAACATGAGGCGGCGGCGCCTGGCAGCTGGATTCCGCGCTCTGTTCCGGGCTTACTATGACACCGGTGAGCGCGCCTCTTGGTTGGGCCGCAGGCAGCACAGGCACCAGCTGGGTTGGCCGCACTATAACGGCCGCTTGTCGCAGATGCTCACTTTGAATCACCTATTTTATCAACAGATATTAAAATCTTCAAATTGTTCACTTTGTCTTTTCTACCATTTCTACCGACTATGTATATTAAAATATAGGAACAAAAAGAGGCCTACCTGTCGCTGAAAAGGTTTTGTTTCTTCTATTTTATGATTATCCGTGGCCTCGTTCTTCATGACCAATACATTTTTGTCATGGGGCTGTACAAGAAACACTCTTCGCCCTAAGGAAGGAAAGTCAAGCTATAACTTTTTAAATATTTATAAGATATCTAAAATCTTACTCTCTACTAAAACAACGGTTTTTACAACAAACCCCTTATTTAAAGCTTCACAGCAGAATGTTATTCCTTTAAGATTTTTAGGATATTATTTTTTAATATTCCGTTATATACGACTGCTCTCTTGGAAATTAATTAACGATAACACCTTCTTATAGTAAAAAATATATTTATGGAACTCCTAGATTGTGGACGGAAATAGAGCACATCTTTTGATATATATAGATATCTCAATATTTTATTACTAAATCATATTATATACGGTACAATAAAATTTCTTTAAAAATAATTAGTAGGTATGTGATACTTTTCATTTTACTCCTAAATAAATTTTCAAAACGGTGTGCTCTATTTCAGTCCACAATCTAGGAGTTCCGTTATTTTTTTTTTACTATAACAAGTTGTTTCATGAAACAGAGTACAAGAATAAAAAATTATATAACGTTTCAATATATTCTTATTATGTTATACCGTGTGGTGCATCGGAATACGGGACATGGAAATCCCATGTAAATTTTGAAAAGGTCAGATTTTATCTCCCCCAGATAATTTTATGAAAAAGTTGTATTAGATTTTTTTGAAGAGGCGTTAAGGTTTTACTTTTGTCTAGAATTTCGTTTCATTTGGAATAGTCATTTAAAAGTTATTTGCAAAAATCTATTACCTTCAAATTAGTAAAATTTATAATACAACCCAGAGAAAGCTACAATTAAAATACCAGCAAAAATATGATCGTGTCATTGTCAAATTAATGTTACATTTTGTTTACAAATATATGAAGGTACCAAACAGAGTAATTTTGTATAAAATTATGATTTTCGCAGCTTCTGAAAAAGTTACGATGGTTAAACCGGCATTTTTCTGCAAATAGTATTCCCGCTGTTAGATTTCTCAGAAAGTCTCCGGAAAGCCTATACGGAATAAGTCAAGAGTTTAAAGAATAAACCAGAGGTTTGAAACTAAAGGCACGGTATTAAGAACATGGAAGTGGAAAGAAAAAAATAATTGAACAGGGAAGAAAACAACAATGACTTGAATATTCTTCATGTTGAAGAAAAGAGAAATATTGACTCCCGTTTAGTGATGTAAAATTACCGGTAATTTATAAATCGGTAATATTACGGTAACATTGTTAATTTATAAAAAACAGCTTTTTAAATATAATTTTTTACTTCAAAACTGTAAAAACATTACAAAAAAAGACAAGAATGTTTTTTAAACTAGCCAGAGTCAGACTGACCTATGCAGCTTATTACTTCGAAATCGGTATCCTCTTCTTCTCCCATTTCTTTCTCAGCACCTTCTACCATTCTTGGGTGTTCTCCATTTAGTAAATTATAATAATGGGTAATAAGTAAAAGTAAGTTTTCCGACCCTTTCCACGGTAAGTCTGTCTTCTTAGCCGATGAACAAATCCATAAGTATTAAAGGTTCTTTCTGTTGCGGCTGATGACGATGGTAAATTTAAAATATCTACTTATTTTAGAGCTGGGCAAATGAAAAAGAGTAGAACGAAAAAAAGCAATATTTCCAATGTTACCGATCTTGCCGTAATTTACATAATATTACTAATATTATCCTTTACATCACTACTCCCGTCTATTGAGGATACAGTAAGAAAAGACCACAAGATCTTTGACCGAATGACTTCTTCCTGTGGAGCACACTCAAAATCCGTTTTTATAGGCATATTAAATACAGAAATTTAGATGGACTAAAAACGACATCTCGGTGGAATGCTAAAAATTCACCCCTTAACAGCTTTGTATTGTGTTTTTTGAGGAGTGAATTTTACAGTCATTTGGGGTATTGTTTGGCTGTGGATTGGAGATTATGTGAAACATTTTATTAATTAGTATATAGTTTAATAAAGTTCTTTCAGTTACAAATATTTATTTAATTTGTTAAATTATTGTGGACATATGTGGTATGAGCGAGACCTGCAAGTTATCGAGTAATTACCAGCAAACAAGTCATACACAGCAAATACTTTTCTCAGTACAATTCATTCTTTTGTAGATAATCATTCCAATTCAGAAAAAAATAACCACCCTTTCCAAACCACATAAATTCTTGTAAAAAAAATGTGACATCGAATGTGACAATGACAAAATCATATTTTTGCTGGTATTTTAATTGTAGCTTCTTCTGGGCCGTATTATAGATTTTTAGTAATTTGAAGGTGGATTTTTGTAAATAACTTTTAGATGCCTATTCCAAATAAAACGAAATTCTGGACGACAGTACAACTTTAACGCCTCTTGAAAAAAGTCTAATACAATTTTTGCATACAATGATCTGGGGAGATAATATTTGACCTTTTCAAAATTTACATGGGATTTCCTATGTCCCGTGTTCCGATGCATCACATGGTATACTATATTATTTTTTAAAATTTGATCCACATCTTCAAGACAACAGTGTCTATATCGAGGTCTATACAGGGTGCTAAAAATTCGACGTACGAGCATTGGTATCTCGGTAACTGTAATAGATATAAAAATGGTTAAATTGGAGCAAAGTTGCACTTTGGGATGTTCACCAAGATGCCATCAAAAAAGTTTTAAAAATGTCAAGGATTGCTGAGTTTTTGGAAAGAAACGGATTTTTTTGAAAATGAATTTTATTTTTTCCTGTCGTTACTTTTTAGAAAATCAAAAAACTAATTGCACATTCTCATAGCCACGTTATTAGGGCTATCTGATAGTATTTTTAAATTTCCAAATTAGCTGATAATTTGTGAGATACAGAGGCTAACTTATTTTTTTTAAATACGGACCTGCATTTTTATTTCAGATTTTGAAAGAACTCTATCTTCTGAAAACAATGATATGCCACTCTTAATATGCAATAATAATAAATATTATTTTATATAATACTTAATGTGCAATAGGGAGAGTGGTAACCCTTTCGAGTGGACCATTAGAAACTACATAATTTGTAGAAGTTGATTTATTTATAATAACTACGATTAATATTATGCATATTATTAGATCGTACACTGAGATTTCAAATTCACAATAAAAACAGTTTTTTAATAAAATAAAAATATAAAAAATAATATCTTTAAATTACTGATCTGGATATTATTTATCTGAATTATTCATTTGGCTCGATTTGCCTTATTCAGTGTTATTAGCGCTGATCAATATTGTTGCGATGAATATAATCAGATTAAATAATTCAAAAAACCAGTTGAAATTATTTTAAAAAATAATTAAATAGTTATGTTGTTATTAAGGTACCCAAAACAAAAAAAAAGTATAAAGTGTCATTGTGCTCGGGAGCTCGGGAGACCGCGTTCTTTCAAAACCTGTAATAAAAAATGCAGGTCCGTATTTAAAAAAATTAAGTTGGCCTCTGTATCTTACAAATTATCAGCTAATTTGAAAATCGAAAAATACTATCAGATAGCCCTAATAAAGTGGATATGAGAATGCGCAATTAGCTTTTTGTTTTTCTAAAAAGTAACGACAGGAAAAAATAAAATTGATTTTCAAAAAAAACCGTTTTTTTCCAAATAACTCGGCAATCCTTAAAATTTTTAAAACATTTTTGATGTCATCTTGGTGAACATCCCAAAACGCAAGTTTGCCCCAATTTAACCATGTTCGAATTACGGTTACCGAGATACCAATGCTCGTACCTGTAAGGTGTACCGAATTTGTAGCACTCCGAATTTGTAGTATATATGACTTCAAAGTCAGTACTTTTTCCGTGACAGTACCTATTTATGATGACCCAGAGTGTTGACATTGCATAGAGTCGTTGATTAAGTATGCTAAAAGATACAGCAAGCCGTCACATTCTTATGTGTATCTTGCGGACCTTTTAAACCAGGTACGCTATATCTTTTCTAAATGTAATCCAAGTATGGAACAGTTCAGCGATAACAATACGAAAGGCTTACGTTGTGGATAAAGTGATGAAGGCGTGGGCCGGTCTTCAGACGCTGGTCCGTGTTGTAAAACCACTTGGGAGGAGTCCATCTGAGCCACAGGGGGCCAAGGCCGTGGCCGGGGGGACACCCTAATCACACTGGGAGCAGATTGCACAGGCCTTACCAGTTCGGGACGAATAACAGGTTGATGGTACGGTGGATACGCGGGGGCACCCCCGCCTATAGGTAAGAACACGTTCTGACGGGAACCGACTGTAACAGGGGAGGGCGCTCCCAGGCGACCTACAGGAGAGCCCGTCACTCCCGGGGAAAATGCTGCTGGTGTAGCTGAACGTGAACTGCCCATTGACACTATATAAAATTGAAATGCTGTCATTTATTCAGATACCTTTGTTGATTATTCGTTTACACTAATGATTTCCTTTCGTCTAGCTATATTGTGCTAAAGTAAAACACATACTAGACAGAAGCCTAATATAGTGGGTTGCTAGCAGACCTTGAAATAGGATGTGATGTAATGGACATTTAAAACTTGAGAACACTTTATTAGGTCACTTGAATCGAAGCAGAAACACTTACCCAATATATTTGCAACATCAGTTTCTTCTTGATCGAAGCGCCCTGCGACACGTCGGTCTTGGCCACTGGGTGACGTCTCTGAATCTCTAGAAGTATCTTCACCTTCTTGCTTGCTGCTCGCCCTCGCAAACGGCGCTCCTCGCAGTCCGTTTCCTTTAAGACTGAGATGACGGGAGCAGTATCCTCTTCTCTGACTTTCTTTGTTGCAACCATCTTTCGAACACAAGCGACGCCACTGTTTTCCATTGAACTTTTTCCTAATACCGTTTGGATTTGAAACGACATCACCTTTTTTATACTTGTGTGGTGTGGCCGGTTGACTACGTGAATTAACGCTACTCGACGAAGAACCTCTGCTATGAACGCTGCTACGCTTGCTTCCTCCAGATAATTTAGCTTCTTCGGTAAAAGTTTCCGAACGCAATTCATCCTCGCTCTCGCAAAACTCATCATACATACGCCCATTTGACACAGGCGTACAAGTACTAACAGGTGTGTGTAACATAGGAGGAGATGTATGACAAAACTCGGTCACTTGTGTATTCGCTAATTCCAAATGCTCTAATTCATCCCACCATGGTGGTCTTAAAAGACGCAAATCAGCTCTCTTTACTGTTAGCTCACAAGACTTTTCCCCTGTTAACAGAAATCACATATAACAGTATTTAGTTTAAAATCTATTATTTCTACTGTTTACCTATTACAGCTACTACAAATCTTACAGGTTGGCCTTCAAGAATACTACATACTACACCTTCGACAAACATACTCTGATTATGACGTACACATACTCTACTACACACACTAATTTGGTTTACTGATGGACTGGCATCACTAATAACATTGTAGCACTCATTATCAAATACATTCTCGTATGTTATTTTCTCTTGATTCATATCCAAAGCAACAGTAATCTGTAAAAAAAGGTTTGCAAATAATATAAAATATATGGCCAATGCCAAAATCTATATCCCTTACAGTTTTTGGACCAGCTTCTCTGATTACTCCCGGAATATACCAATCACCTTGCTTGGCAAGTACACGATGGTCACGCCATTCACTTAAATCTACAGGGAGAGGAGCTGGATGGGGGGCACGTAAGCCATAAGAATAATCTACAGCCGTAATAGGGGTACCAGCTGGAGCAGTTTGAACTACAGACACTGGAATACATGAACTAGTTTGACCTGCTTCATCTAACTCAGCGGGATCAAATTTTCTCTTCTTTGGTAGTTTTCGAACCACCATTTCCATTTTGTATATTATTGCTTATCAGTTAAAGATATTTTAAACTTAAGAGTATGTTCTGAAAGGTTTCTTAATAGTGTGGAGCATGTTTTCTTTTCGTAATATTACATCAATTCTCCAGATTTCAAAGTTAAAAAAATTCCGAAATTTCACATTCCGTTACTTTACATATTATATCATTTGAACGGGTTATTTATTCATCCAAAAATATGTTATGAATATATGAGCAACACTTAAATGAATGAATTGTTGTAGTATTGAATAGTAAATAAACAGCTTCTGTTCTTCCTTAGTCAACTAGTCAAGTGCCTAATGTATTAACATTTTTTTCATTTTATTAAACACTTTTGGTTACCCTTTCGCCTTCTGCATTGTGTTTCTTGTATAAATTCACTATTTTTAAAACTAACACGCTTTTTTAACACCTAGAAAACAAGGATAATTTGTAATTTCCTTGAATTAAAAGTCGTCGATCGGCCGTACAATGTTGCCAAATTTTCGAATTGACGGGAATGACATCTCTTTGTTTATTAGTTCAAAAAAAATTGGTTTTAAATGATGGGATAAGTAAAGATAATCTCTAAGAGCGTATATGTATATTCAATTTATAATTTGCTATTAATCGACATTGTCAAATATATTTTTAACGCAACAAATAGAAATAAAACAAGAAGCCCCTGTCAAAAAGGTTTGCAGTGCATTAGCTCACGTGGCAACACTGGTGGAATTATGAGATATTGGAAGTTTTCTAATAAATTAAAATTTTGTCTAGAGTCTAGATTATATACCAATAATTATATACCGTGCCATTTTATTGTAAGATTTTTTTAATATTGAAAAAGTAATTTAATGCTTAACGTTGAATGAAATTATATAATTCTGTTAAAACTCGTTTGATTTTATTAAGCGACCATTTTGTCCTAAACATTATTTGAATATGAATGATAAGTTTGACGTCTGTCTGGTTGTGAATTAACCAGAAGTTAAAATGAAACATCCTATTACTTGAGCGAACGACCCAGACACAGCATGACGGCATAGACCCAGACATACGTATCTAAAGTTTTCTGTACAGTGAAAAGTGAAAAAGAAACAGCAATAAAAGTTATGTTCAGTGAATTCTGAAATGATTCTGAATAAGTTTCTTAAAATTTAATGGCGATGGCATGGTGTGTAACACATTAATTTTTGTACCTATCCAACCATGTTTATTTATCATAAGGCTGGGGGTTTTAATTTATCGTATAATTTCTTATAAATACCGTGGTGTTTATGTTCTATCACCGTTTAAAAAAGTTCTAATTAAATACTGAGTACTGAGGTGAACTATTGTTTTTCCTTAAGAAATCTGAAGAGAATCAAATCATAAGGAAAAATGAGTGATACGACAAATCGCCGACCAAATTTTTCCAATGTACCTCAAAATGGAATTAATAGAAATGTTAATGTTCTTAGTATAAAACCAACAACTGCAAAAAAATTAGTAATAAAGAACCTCAAAAGTAAGTATAATAAAAATATCATATTAGGGCAGAATCAGGTATTTAAGAAAAATCGTAATATCTTCAGGTGAACCTAAATTACCAGAAGATTACATTGAACAAACATGGAAGAAACTAAAAAGTGCAGTACTGGCTATTCAGCAGGCAAAACCAAATGAGTATCAATTAGAAGAATTGTATCAGGCCGTTGAAAACTTGTGTAATCATAAAATGGCACCAATTCTGTATCAGAAACTTCATAATTTAACTGAACAACATGTCGCTCAGAATATTGAACAATTTTTAGCAGAGTCGATGGATAGATATTTATTCTTAAAAAAAATGAACAACACATGGTTGGCCCATTGCAATCAAATGATAATGGTCCGTAGTATCTTCTTGTATTTAGATCGTACCTATATATTGCAGAATCATGTCTCGTCAATCTGGGATATGGGCTTGGAACTATTTGGAAAATATATTTTATTAAATGCTTTAGTTCAGACGCGTGTAGTTGAAGGTTTATTGATGCTGATAGAAAAGGAAAGGCAAGGAGACCAGGTAGGATTTAAAAATGTCTATCATAATAATAATCTAATATTAATAATCTCTTTATTATAAAAAATAAATAATACCCAATTAAAGGTTTTGAGTGTTAAATTAATTATACATAAAATGTATATGTTACTGTAAATGTCCGAAATGCGGTTAAACCTAGGATAAGAGTTGTAAAACCTAGGATAAGCGCGCTAAACCTAGGATTTACCAATGAATTAACACCCTCCAAATAACCACGCTAACCAACTCGAAATGCGGCAAAACCTAGGCTTTACCGCATTTTGGACATTTAGAGTGACATATACTAAATAATAATTAAAAATGAAAATCATACAGACATGTCCTTATTTACTTTTAAGATGGAAAATATAAAAAATATATGCCGGGAGTAAATTTGTAGTGAAAATAAGATGTGTTTTTTTAGGTTGATAGATCATTGCTTAAATCGCTATTGAGAATGTTGACTGATCTTCAAATTTATCGTAAAGCTTTCGAACACAAGTTCTTACAAGCTACAGAACGTTTATATGCTGCAGAAGGCCAACGTCTCATGCAAGAATTGGAAGTTCCTGATTATTTAACGCATGTCGATAAGCGGATTGCGGAGGAAAATGAGCGAGTGTTGCATTATTTAGATCCGGGAACCAAATATCAACTAATCCATACGGTTGAAAAGCAGCTGCTTCGAGAACATGTTTCTCAAATTTTGCAGAAGGGACTGGATCAGCTTCTTACTGAATTTAGATTAAACGACTTAAATCTACTTTATGACTTATTAAGTCGTGTTAAAAATGGCTTGGCACAGTTGTGTTCTTCCTTTAACGCTTACATTAAAAAACGCGGCAGGACCATTGTGATAGACCCTGAGAAAGACAAAACGATGGTGCAGGAATTACTGGATTTCAAAGATGCAATGGATAATGTTGTATCCACATGTTTCCATAAAAATGAAAGGTTTAGCAACTCTCTCAAAGAAGCATTCGAGCATTTTATTAATCAGAGAACTAATAAGCCAGCGGAATTAATAGGTAAACATTTATAATTTTAGTGACTAAATCCGAGGAATATTTAATCATTTGTAGCCAAATTTGTCGATTCTAAGCTAAGAGCTGGAAATAAGGAGGCCACTGAAGAGGAGCTGGAAAGATTGTTGGACAAAATTATGGTCCTTTTTAGATTCATCCATGGAAAGGATGTATTTGAGGCCTTTTATAAAAAGGTACACACTATAGTTTATCTGAAGTCAGTTGGAATGGAATGGCACTTTCGGCACTGTCTTTGTCGAGACAACGGAATTAAGGGTCAATACTTTCAATTGACTTAGGAAATACTCTAACTGAGCAGTGCATCTGAATAGCTTACACTTTATTTAGTAATATTTTTTTATTTATTTGTTGTAGGATTTAGCAAAACGACTTCTTGTTGGCAAATCTGCTAGTGTTGATGCAGAGAAAAGCATGCTTAGCAAGCTCAAACAGGAATGCGGAGGCGGCTTCACCTCAAAGTTGGAAGGAATGTTCAAAGACATGGAGCTTAGTAAGGACATTAACCAAGCCTTCAAGCAGCACACTACTGTTAATAGTAGAGACTTGCCTCAAATTGAGATGACAGTTAGCATACTTACTATGGGTTATTGGCCTACCTACCAGCCCATGGAAGTCACTTTGCCAGATCAAATGGTTAGACTTCAAGACGTTTTTAAAGTATATCTATGCACCCTTTTGTTTCTACCGTATTAAAGTTGTTGTTTTAGGAATTTTATCTGAGTAAACACAGTGGTCGGAAGTTACAGTGGCAGCCAACCCTTGGTCACTGTGTTCTAAAGGCATCCTTTCGAACTGGTCTTAAAGAATTAGTTGTATCGCTGTTTCAAACTTTAGTTCTATTACTATTTAATGATTCTAACGAGTTAACTTTTGAGTATATTAAGGAAGTAAGTTCAGTGTTGTGTACTTTAATTTCAATTTATTTGGCTAAAATGATTTTAGGTGACTAACATTGAAGATGGGGAATTAAGAAGGACATTACAATCTTTGGCTTGTGGGAAGGTATGTAATTTTTAGCGTGTAATCTTTTAGCCGTTTTAGCGTCATAATTTTAGGCAAGAGTGCTGGTAAAGATTCCCAAAGGTAGAGATATCCAAGACGACGACCACTTTAGATTCAATTCTGATTTTACAAATAAACTATTTCGTATCAAGATTAATCAAATTCAAATGAAAGAAACTGTGAGTTAACTATTTCTTCTAGTTTAATATGTAAATTAAGCAATAACGTTTTTGTTTCAAGACTGAGGAACAAAAAGCAACAGAAGAAAGAGTATTCCAGGATAGGCAGTATCAAATTGATGCTGCAATCGTCCGGATCATGAAAATGAGGAAAACTCTTAGTCATAACTTGTTAATTAGTGAATTGTATATACAGCTCAAGTTTCCTGTTAAAGTAAGCACGACGAGACCAATGTTTATTGATTGCATCTAATTTATTTTTTGCAGCCCCCGGACCTGAAAAAACGCATAGAATCCCTTATTGATAGAGATTACATGGAAAGAGATAAAGATAATCCTAATCAATACAACTATGTAGCATAATTTTGTTGAGATCAAATTGACATAAGTTGTTCTAGAATTAACGTGTTGCTCTTACATATTTTCTCTGACACTTTATTATTCATTTTGTTTTATTTGGTTTGTTAAACCATTGATTTTTTGTAACATACATTTATATATTATGTATTCTTGTAAATTTTGTGATTACTTTGATTTTAGCGTACTATTTAGTTACTCATTAAAACAATATTATTGGTCAAAATTTCATAATAAAAAATACTTTCATGAAATCTGCGTTTTATTGTAAATTATTTACTCTCTCACTATTGTGTACAAAGGCGATGGCGATTTTCGTTATGGTACCGACTAAAAGACCAGTTATTCCGAATTACTCTACTTGGAGAAAAAACTCCAAGAATCAAGTTAAAAAAATTAAATGAGTCAAAATATTCGAATACGGAACTGTCAATAATAATTTGAACATAGTAATGTGCGCGTTCAGGGAACACAGCGTTTTTTGACGCGGAGGAGGCGAGTAATGTCGGGTGTTCGATATTTACGTTCCGATTGACGGATGGCGTCTTGTTGCTCTAACGCGCATGCTCATACCGGGAACATGGACGCTTTAAATTTACGCTACCACTTACCCTTGTACATTTTTATTTATTTAGAGTTGTTGGTAACGGCGATCAAAATACGCCGTAGGCGTATTTGATCGCGTTGGTTGTATCTCTGGTGTTTTTGGTATTTTATATATATTTTATATATTCATTGATTTTCTTAAAAACTATTGCACGAAAAGCTATGAAAATATTTTTTGAGGTTAGAAAATTTTTTTTCTCGCTTATTTTACAAAAATCGCATTTTCCTCACCTCAAGTTCTTTATTTTAGTCTAAAAGGCAGAATATCCACTTTTCATAATAAAAATACTTTCATGAAATCTGCGTTTTATTGTAAATTATTCAGCCCTAAAGTGAAACGGACCCCAAAGGCGATGGCGATTTTCGTTATGGTACCGACTAAAAGACCAGTTATTCCGAATTACTCTACTTGGAGAAAAAACTCCAAGAATCAAGTTAAAAAAATTAAATGAGTCAAAATATTCGAATACGGAACTGTCAATAATAATTTGAACATAGTAATGTGCGCGTTCAGGGAACACAGCGGCTGACTGACCGCTGAGACTTGCTCAGCGGCTGACTGTTTTTATGTGTAAAAAGAGACCGTTTAGTAGTAATGTATCGGCCTCTTAAGTCCTTAAAAAGATTTTCATAAATTTCCAAAAAAAATTTAAATGATTTTATGTCTAGATAACGTATACCACAGAACACTCAGACTGTGACTATAATACCGTATGATCGAATAAAAACGGCGTCAGCGATGGCTACGAAATGAAGATTGCTGTCATTTTATATGTAAAATTATATGGGAATTGTCATATTATCATCGATCGTCATTTCCAACCCAACTGGACGCCGTTTTTTTTGGATCATACTGTATAAGTATACCTATACCTTTGCCTATACCCTATACCTAATACATCCTAATACCCTTGTATGTAAACAAGGCTAATACCTAATCTGTTCTATTAAGAACGTTCTAACAAAATAAACCAAATAACAATCAAACGTCTTTATTGCCCTTGATTATGAATAATAATGGACAACAAACCGCAACATTTGCTGTTCTCCATTCGCGAACTTCAAGTTCCAGTGCTTTACGCCCTGGGCTACTCGAGAACGGTTCTGAAAGGAGCTGTGCGCAATAGCCAGGTTTGCCTGGTGCCTTCATATGGCCCGGAACAGTTCTGAACTTTATGACTCAATTGAATAGAGGAGATTATCGCGTTCTTGAACAGTTCAGAGCAGCATAACTGCGTGAATGGAGGGCAGCAATTATTGGGTGCCTGTGTACATCCTGAATATACATGGAGTATACTAGTGGGACCAAAATGGGACGTAGACGCTAGTGTAATTTCACCCTGTGATTTCACCTTTGAATTTCACGCATCATTTTTCATCAAGTTTGACAGATCAATGGTATTCTTGTGGTATTCTCTGTGGGTATTTTTAATCCTAATCTTTGGGCAATGCGCTTGGTTTTTGTCTGTTTTTATTAAAGAAGGGTAGTTGTACAAAAGATACAAAGTTAATTCGTAGAGGTTTTATTAATTTCCGTATAAAATGTCGGATGACGACTTTATGTGTGATGATGAAGAGGATTATGGCTTAGTAAGTACTTTAACGGCAAAATAAAATAATTAACTTAACCTCACTTTAGCGTTCAGCCTAATATTTTATAAATAAAATAGTTGGGATGTTATTTTCTTATTCAATTTTCTAGGAATACTCTGAAGACAGTAACTCTGAACCAGATGTTGATTTAGAGAATCAGTACTACAATAGCAAAGCCCTAAAAGAGGAAGAGCCTAGGGCAGCCTTAGCTTCCTTCCAAAAAGTATTAGATCTAGAAGGTGGCGAAAAGGGAGAATGGGGATTTAAAGCTCTAAAGCAAATGATTAAAATTAATTTTCGTTTGTCAAATTATGATGAAATGATGGTTCGTTACAAACAACTACTTACATATATTAAGAGCGCTGTAACTAGGAACCACAGTGAGAAATCTATTAATTCAATCTTAGACTATATTTCGACTTCACGAAATGTAAGTAGTTCTTTTCTATAATTGCTTCTTTAGATTGATAAAAAATTAATTCCAGATGGAATTACTTCAAAATTTTTACGAAACAACACTCGAAGCCCTTAAAGATGCTAAAAACGATAGACTTTGGTTTAAAACCAACACTAAATTAGGCAAGCTATATTATGATAGAGGAGATTTTAATAAGTTAGCTAAAATACTCAAACAGCTGCATCAGTCGTGTCAAACAGACGATGGGGAGGATGATTTGAAAAAGGGCACGCAACTGTTGGAAATATATGCTTTAGAAATTCAAATGTACACGGCACAGAAAAACAATAAAAAGTTGAAAACTCTATACGAACAATCCTTACATATAAAATCGGCAATACCTCATCCATTAATAATGGGAGTAATAAGAGGTGGGTGCAGCACTTGATATTGATTTTTTGTATTGTCAATTCAATTTTAGAATGTGGAGGTAAAATGCACTTAAGGGAAGGGGAATTTGAAAAAGCACATACAGACTTTTTTGAAGCCTTCAAGAATTACGATGAATCGGGAAGTCCTAGGAGAACTACTTGTTTAAAGTATTTGGTATTAGCAAACATGTAAATAATATATTTTTATTTACTGTTTAAGTAAAAATAATCCCAACTTTCTTATAGGTTAATGAAGTCTGGTATAAATCCGTTTGATTCTCAAGAAGCTAAGCCTTATAAAAATGATCCCGAGATATTAGCAATGACAAACTTGGTTAATGCATACCAGAACAATGATATTAACGAATTTGAATATATTTTAAAGCAAAATAGACAAAATATTATGGATGACCCCTTCATTAGAGAGCATATCGAAGATTTGCTTAGAAATATAAGGACCCAAGTGCTAATAAAACTTATTAAACCATACACCAGAATACAGATACCCTTCATTTCGACAGAGCTAAACATCGATGTGCAAGAGGTTGAAAGTCTTCTGGTAGCCTGTATATTAGATAAGTATGTTAAGGGAAGTCCAACCGACTTGCCAGATTACTAATTGATTACTTTTTAGTACCATTCAGGGCAGGATAGATCAAGTAAATCAAGTTCTGTTTTTAGAAAGAACTACATTAAATACGGCTAGGTAAAGTTACTGTGTGTTTACGTTATAAGTTATTTTTAAATTTATCTTGCATTATAGGTATAATGCATTGGATAGATGGGCAAACCAACTCGGCACCCTTCACTCTTCGATTGTAAATAAGATGGCTTGATGTCCCAAACTACAGAGAAATCAAATGGTCGAAGTGATAGCGCTTAGCGCCTTTTTTTGTTTGATCACTCCTAAATGTCTAAAAATATTGTTTCAAATTAGTTTTAATTTAACAATCTCGATACAGTTCCCAATCATGAACGCTTAAATGCTATTTGGCTTACAGGAGCAAATATATTTATATATTTGTACAGGAGGAACAGAATTTACATTAAAAAAATATATTCAGTGGACGATAGCATATATACAAATTACATTTTAGCTGTAATCTTTTTATCCTCGATTGTCTATTCCTTATCTGTTTCTTTTAATATTTGCCCTTTGTAAATCTATCATTCACACAGTCGTCAGGTTTATGGAATATTGCTGAAAAAAGGCATTATATAACTTTATTTTACAAAATGTGTCATAACTATTTTCAACAGTCGAAACAAAAAAACTCATATTGTTAAGATTTTTCTAATAAATAAAAATTTATTACGTGTTTGTTTTTTATTTTTAGACAGCTTTCTTTAAAATTCTATACTGTAAATATTCCAATTAATTGGGTATAACAATATTGTACCTGATTGATAGGCCCACGATAGGCCATAGTATGAAGATATGGCCAAGGAATGTATTTGATGTGTAATCAAATTTGTTTCAAATCTTTGATTGATTCAAGTACATGGTAATTTTAATTTGTACAAAAAAGGTGACATTTTAATCTCATAAGATTTATTTTATTTTAGTCTCTCATTAGTCATAAATACGGATGCGGGGGCTAAAAGCCGGAAAACGGAAAAGCCCTCGGTATTTAGATATTTAGCATGTATTGTCATTTTAATTTTATATGATTTTAGTGTGTATATGTTTGGTTGCCTATATTTTTTATTTCATCCATTGATTCACATCAAATACGTTTAAATAAAATATACGACGGCCTTCCCATAAGAGCAATGAGAGGATTTACGTCCCAGTATTGAAGGAAGACAGAAAATCGAGTCGAATGTTCAAGACATAGGTTCATCCTTGTTTAGTCAAACCTCCTACAAACCAAGGATAGACTATGTAGGAAATGCATTGAAATTCTATAGCCATCCTTCAATATCGGGACAGGAATTTAAGCGGTACCCTCCGTATACTTTATTTTAAACGTATTTGATTCACATCGTGCAAGATCCAGAGATATGGAAGTGGGTTTCCATATCTCGGGCAAGATCCAATGACTAAAGAATACATCTTTAGTCATTGGGCGCATTCAGTAAACACACCGGTTAGTCCACCGGTGGAGAAAATTAAATTGAATGCCAATGGTACGATATAAATAAATAAAAACTAAACGATGATGTTGCCTATCATAATCACACCAGTCCTGTACTTTTTTAGTAAATGCAACGAACGGTGCCGAACACCAAGTGCGATTTTTCGGAGCAATTAACCTATAAAACTACATTTTTAATTTATAGGTTAATTGCTCCGAAAAATCGCTGCTACTTGTCACAGTGCTTTTATTGGAGCAGTCGCAGAGCGTAGCAGCTCCACAAAAATCGCAGACTGGCCCACCTCTAGAAGTGACAGCGAGACCTGGAAGATGTCTGCCATCTTGCCGTCGACAAAAATTTGGATGCGCACTCGTCGAAGCTCATTCTCCCACTTCCATATCTCTGGTGTTTACTGAATGAGTGAATGTGCCCATTGTGGTGCCCATTGGCAAGATCTATAGCACGTCTATAGAGTGAACAGTTACTTAATTCTGTGGTTGGCTGCTTTCGTATAGGGTTGTTCCGATACTCTGAAAGTATCGATACGGATCGTATGCAGATATATCGAGACTTGGAATATCGATACTTTTTGATACATGATATCCTTAAACGATATGTCATTACCATAATTACCTTTAAATTTTATTATTATATAACAACTTCATATTAATAAACAACTAAAAATATATTCCAATTAAGTAAAGAACAAAAAGGAAATATCCTCACCTATGTATACACTAAACAAAAACAAAAGATATAATTCTAATTGAACAAAGAAAAATTCAAACTACAAAATAAACAACAAACACAGAATTAAACCTAGGCACTCAGTTCAGTCTTTACAACATGCACGTACAACATCCTTTAAAAAAAAAGTTTTTTTTGTTTGAGTTTAATCGAAAAACGTTTAATCGAAACTTCATTAGTTTTCTTTTTCTCTATCGTTTTTTTGCAATTTGAAACGTACGTATCGATACGATACGATACCAGTCAAAAAGTTTCGATACTCGTATCGTATCGTCTGGAAGAAATCGATACAAAATATCGGGTATCGAAAGAAAATGTATCGATAGATACTTCAAAATATCGGAGTATCGAATATCCCTTCCCTACTTCCGTATCCGTATGTCCGTATTCCGTATTGTTTTGTCACGGGAATTTTGGGAAGTGTTCAAGTAAATATTAAATATTCAAGTAGAAAGAACAAATAGGTATTTACGATGGCTTTAAGGATCGTCCATAGAAACTCTTTAAAATGTGTTTGCAATGTAGCTAGGGTAAGCATTTTAAGATTATATAATAGTATCCTTTCGTTCTGAACGAACTGAAAATTTTCACTTAAACTGATTCATTCCTTTTATGTAGTATAGGAAATAAATCAGTTTAAGTGAAAATTTTCAGTTCGTTCAGAACGAAAGAATACTACTAATAGCTACATTTGAAGCCGGATTAAGATAACGCATATTGTAGGCACAGTCAACAATGTCTGCATTCGAAATACAGCACAAGACACCTCTTATTAAAAAACAACACCCTATCCCTGTGGCTATGTATGGTGGAAGAAATGCAGTCACCATGCTGCCCGGAGGTGGCATCGGTCCTGAGCTCATGGACTATGTACGTGAAGTTTTCAAATATGCCGGTGCTCCAGTTGATTTTGAGGTAATTGATATTGATCCTCATTCAGAAGAGAGTACTGCATTCGATTATGCTATTACATCTATTAAAAGAAATGGTGTTGCTATTAAAGGTATCAATCTTTGTTTTTTATCTGTTGTTCCTAACAGTTTCGTTTAAGGCAACATTGAAACAAAAAGTGAGAGTGCAGGTGTATTGTCCAGGAATGTTGCTCTGAGAAATGAGTTGGATTTGTTTGTAAATATTCTCCATTGTAAATCGTTTCCTGGTATACCTGCAAGGCAAAAAGATATTGATATTCTTATAATTCGTCAAAATACTGAGGGTGAATATGCCATGTTGGAACACGAAGTGATATTTCAAGTTTGCATTTTGAATTTCCTCTAACTTTTAAACAATTTCAGAGTGTTAACGGTGTGGTAGAGAGTATGAAGGTTGTAACAGAATCAAATTCTAATAGGGTGGCTAGATACGCTTTTGAATTTGCAAAAAGAACTGGAAGGAAAAAGATAACAACAATACATAAAGCCAACATAATGTAAGCAGAAATGACTGTTTATGGTGCGATGCTCAATTGAATTTTATAGGAAACTTTCAGACGGCTTGTTTTTGGAAACCTCAAGAAAAATTGCCAAGGAATATCCAGAAATCGAGCACAATGACATGATTATAGACAACTGTTGCATGCAGCTAGTATCCAAGCCTCACCAATTTGACGTTATGATAATGACAAATTTATATGGTAGCATTGTATCAAACGTGCTATGTGGATTGATAGGGGGTGCTGGCATATTATCAGGAAGAAATTATGGAGATCATGTAATGTAAGTTTGTAGAGTTTAATACTCTGTAATAAAGTCTTGTTTTAGTATGCACTTTTTGAGCCAGGAACTCGTAACACTGGAACAGCTATAGCTGGCAAAAACATTGCAAATCCTTTAGCTATGTTGAATGCTTCTGTAGACATGTTAAATCATCTTGGTCATAAACAACATGCCAGCTTAATTATGAATGCTATGATGAAGACTATTGCTGAAGATAGATTGCTCACTCCAGGTATTAAATAAGATTGAGTAAGAGTTTGGTGTTGACAATTTTATTTTTTAACTTTAGATCTCGGAGGAAGCGCCAGTAGTACGGATGTTGTTCAGAAAGTTATTGACCATATCTTACAAGCTGACATCAGACCATGGTAATTTTATCTCTGTGGTAATAGTGTGATGGTTTGTCACTACTAACTGGTCACGCTTGCCTCTGTGATGTTTTCATCCACTAACTTTTTAGGTCGTTTTCCTAACAAACACTTATCCTTTGCATTTTCACTCCTAACAGTTACACTGAGCTGCCTTTACCTAATGCAGTATTAATTTTTTCGTATTTTTTTACAGAGTCGTCACTCAATCTCTCTTTTACCATCGTGTTTACCGTGTGATTATTTATATGTAAATATAAAATTTTTATGTAAGTTAAGCTGTACTGACCTATTGAAACAAATGTTGAAATAATTTTAGATTATATGTTTAATAGAGTTTGTTAATAAGAGAACAAGGTATTTGAATATAAGTATTTAATTTTCATGTGTGACTTTTATTGACTCAGTAGAACGTATTATAGGCCGGGCCGGGTTCATTTGACCTGAAGAATTAGGTGTTTTATTAGCTCGTCTTAAAGAACCTACAATCTGTCTAAGATTATAATGAAACAGATTGGAATTTATTTTTTACACTTTTATTCAAAAGATTCATCCAACTTTACACACTAAGAGAAAATAATATATAATTTATTTATATTAAAAAATGTACGTTAGTTAACACAGAGGCATATCCATTTACGTATTATTTTTTAGCGATTTAGGTACCATTTCTTTGAAGAACTTGGCGCATTTTTATTTTTTTTAGGTCCATAAGCGCTCTAGTTTAAAAGAAATGGTTGTTTAATAATGAGTAAGACTTACATTTTCTGTACAGACAAAAAAGCGGAATAGAGATTTATCTTCAACGAAATTTAGCAATGTTAACATTTAACAGAAAACTATAATACAAGTCTAATTTGTTTATGAACTTCTGACACATGTACAATGTATGAATACTGTTGACTAGAGCTATGCTCTAGAGTGAGTCTGAACACCTATAATTAGTGCATACTTTATAATTTTGGCACATAAGTCATAGAGGTTTCATGCTTTTTTGTAAGAACATTTACTTGGAAAAAATACTGTAATTATATATAATAAAAAAAAACATACCAATTTTGTCTTATACAAATATAATTTGAAATTCGCATACATTACACAAAATGGAGTGAGTATAAAGAAAGGTCTTAGATGAAAATACAGCAATTTTTATAACGGGAGAGCTAGTAACTTAATTTATTTTAATACTTAGTTTTTAACCCCTATCTCAAAAAAGTTTAATTTCTAATACTTTAAGTAAAAGGCCTTAAATTTAACAAAATCTTATAATTTTGGTTAACAACCAGCAGTTTTTTTAAAAAACGTGCTTTAGATTAAATATTCCCTAAACATACAATATTCGGCTTTACCTTCGCAAAATGAATTGTTTTTTCACTTATAGGAACGAATTCACGGTCTTGACAAAAGTTATAGCGATTATAAATAATTCTCCTATTCTGCTCCACACAGTTACAATGTTAAGTTCGACGGTGGAGCCAGTATATCACTACATTTGTATTTCTTATATAAACATAAACAACAAAATAAAATTAGAAATTCAAGAAAACAAAAATTCACAAATTGCAATAATAGATTTTCTTACAACTAAAAAGCAAATAACGCCTCACATGAAAGTCTGTTGATATCTCATCACGCCTAATAGTTAACTAAAATGGTTTGTTTATATACATCGACAAACTGCACATTTATTTTAAACAATTTACAATTATACGAGAGGAATTTACAATTAGAGGTACTAAAGATTGCAACCGCAGCAATATTTTTTACAAAAGTTCGAATTGGTTTTAGTGTTACAAACTCTCACTTCCATACTTGTTTAATTTGTACTAGAGTGCAATCACTGCATAGTTGGATTTAATTAACAATAAAACAATAACAAGAAAACTGGAAAATAACACTCCTATCTGAGAACATTTTTTCCCTTCTAGAAAGTCAAGTTCTGTAAACTTTTCAAGAATTATCTATACAACCAACTCAAATGCGAAGTCATTTAAAACGCATAGGGCTGAGAAAATTCAAACTGTTTTTTTGAATACTTTTACACATGTTACATCAAGGCGTCTTAATTCTTAACCAGTTTACGTAACTATTAACATTTCTCAGAAATAACGATACCTAGATAATGGTCTAATAAGATGAGCAAATATTTATATACAGTAGGGAATTTAACATTATTTGCATACATATTTTACATACGTTTCACGTTGTATCCAAGTGATACAAAATACAGAACCATTTACATTGATTTGGGGTCCCATGCCCATTTTTCCACCCTGTATTACTATAAAATTATAAAATATTTTTACAAAACAAGTTTTACAGCAATAAGCACGGGGCTTATCAAAAAATGTCAGGATTTTCACGAAATATGCGGCCAAAATAGTTATCTGCACATTTAATTTTCTTTCATTAAAGAGGGTCGATACTAAGACTTAGTTTGTGTCTAGACAATTGAATAATCAGTTCAAGTACCTCAATTGATTGGATCGAATAGCTCAAATCAGAAGCCTGATTTACAGCTTTCTCGGATCGTTGGGTCACCCTGTATTGTAGAATTTCCGTATTCCACTTACTCATGAGGGCGACCCAAAGAAAAAATAAGTATGTAGTGTAGTAGTATAGATAAATATCGTATTCCCGTGTTTGTTGCTCTAGTAAATAGACAAAGTTGCTAGACCATTACTTAAGCCTTGTTATTTGTGTACAGGGAAAAATCCAATTTGACTTTTCTCGACATAAAAGGGTCAAGTGTGCATCAGCGAAAGTACTGTTCCGTATTTTCACAGTACTTGCACTACCTTTTCTTGGCTACCAAAGGTTTCTTATTTGGTATAGGAGCTTGTGGTTTGCCAGCATTTACTCTCTTCTTAATATTGGACGCCCCTGGACTTTTCGACCCATTGAGACAGGAGCAGGGCTTCCTCGAGGTTCTTCTGGAAGTTCTGTCGGGAATGCCATGAAACGGACACTTAGTTTGGTCTGCTTCCAAAGCCCGTTTCTCCTCCACTAGCGTTTGGACTTGTATGGTACCGTCATCGACAACTGTTTCTTCTTGTACGGAAATCGGCGTCCCTTCCTGGAGAACTTGCAGAATATCCTCCGAACTCGTTACTTCGGACCAAGTGTTTTCTGTCTGAGCCTTGGTACCTTTCTCACACTTTTTCCTGTTCGTGTATTTATACTTATACTTGTTTACTGTATGCGTGGTGTCAGTGTAGTCGGGCGAAATAGGCGAATTAAGAGTGACTTCGGAAATGGTGGCGCAATTTGGAACAAGCGTCGTGTCGTCGCCTGAAGAGGCAGCTGCGTTCACACTGCCGTCCCCGTTTACTTGACCTACATCTGCCTCCACCTGGTACTCCACATAATCGAAGAGATCGTTTCGCATGGGACTGGAGTTTTCGTCGTCGCTAAACAGATTCATGCTGGCTTTTGCCTTCGCCTCAGTTACTTGGATTTTCTGGCCACTCTGTTCGTACGAGGGTGAGTGGTTGGAATCGAAAAGCAAATCAGCTTCGGGGAATAAATCGCTCGTGCTTGGCTCATCCACGCCCAAGTCCTCGCACTCTTCCGAGAGAGACTTTTGCAGCCTCAGTTCTCTCTCTATAGCGGCTTGCTTCTGCAGGTCACTGTCAAGCTTTTTGCTCGTTGTTTTTTTCGTCCTTATTGCATAGTATATAGCATTGTTTTTAAACACCTTTGTATTCGTGGGAACCTAAACATATAGACAAATTAATAGGCCGCTTGCCGAGAACCGCATTTTTTACCTTTCCACTATTCTGACTGAATTCTTTAACGGTCTGAGTGGTAGATTCGACTCCTTCGCATGGTTTTCGGTATCTGGAATTGGTGTGGGACAACATAGGGCCATTCGAAGCAGACGCATTTACCAATACTGACTCGATTCTTCCCGCCCGCTTCTGTTCTTCGCCTGAGAATTTCAAAAAGATAAGTCTTATTTCTTTCAATAGCTAATTAGTTACCTTTAATGGTTCCTGCTGCCATTCCTGCCGATCTGCTTTCCTCTTCCTTCTTTATGACTGACGCGATGACTGATGTGGCTACGCTACTAGTCTTCTGGATACTGCTGAAGACGCTGTCACTGGACGGCGCGGCGGACCGGGGGGTTTCGTCCATTTTTGTTTCGCTTCCATCATTCGACAGATTAGTGCTGTCGGGCTGGGGTATATCCGGAGATTTATCCATCTTGATGGCTTCGCTAGGCTGGGAGATTGTCAGGAGAAGCTCGGCATTGTTAGCTCGCTCGCCATCCTCGATCTTCTTCAACGTAATGGGTTGTCCCAAAGTAACCGTGGCAACGGAATTGGAAGGCAAGACGACTGGCGGCTGAGCGCCTACGCCTGCGACCGTACGAGAAGAGATCCCGGAGAATGGCTGAATGGTGGAATATTTCACGGCCGAAATGCCACCGGGCTTTTTGTTCTGATTCACGAAACTTTGAAAGAGCAGCATATTTTGGCCCGACCTCGCCGGGACGCTCGTAAGAATCTTGCTTCCACCGGAAACAACCGCAATCTGCTGACTACCTTTAACGACGGACACTGGCATAATGTAACTTCCCGGCATTATGAGAGTCGTGTTGGGCATTTTCAACGCTTCGCCTACGCTGGAATCGGCAATGATAACATTCCGTGGCTGATTAGACGTGTCAGTGACGAGTAGCGGCCTTGCTGCGTTACTAGATGATGCCGGCTCCAAGTTCGTATCTGGAGGAGTAATGCTGGCCGACTGGGACTGTTCCTCGTCCGTCATGGACAGCTGGACAATGCCGCCCGAGCTGTCCTCGCTGCCCATCGTCAGATCCTCGCTTTCCGTCTCCACCAAATTGCTGCTCGTGTTATTGCTCTTCTTCTTTTTCTTTTTACTGGACGCGGAACCGGAAGCGGTGGAGCTAGGGTTCGTGGGCGGGTTGGACCTTCGCCTAGGCGCCGGCTTGTTGTTTAAATCCGGCGAGTTCCTCAACTGTTCGGCGTACTCGGCTAAAATATCGAAAATGCGTTGCGTGGTGTGTTCATCTTCTTGCGGCTTCTGTTGGGGCTTCTGAATGGTGGTAGGTACGGCCGCCGGCGGGCTTTTCGTTGTGGCGCTTTTAATGCTCTTGCCTTTAGACGACTTGACAGAAACCTTAGGAGTGGTTGCTGAGGTGGCCTGAGTGAAGCAATCTGCGGATGTACTTTGCGACGGCACACTGAGCGCGGGCGACGCAGACTGCTGGATGGGGTTATAACTGCTCACTACCACCACAGGGGACAAGTGAGTGTATTTTTGTACCTGATTCACGTACGTAAAGCTAATTCGCTGCTGGGGCGATTCTTGACTGGTAACAGCAGTGGTTTCCGGTTGCGCGGGGTTACTGCTCCTTTCTTTAACTTGTTTATACACCATATCAAACTCCCTCAGTTGTTCTAAAGTCGTCGAGCTCATATTCGTTTGTGGCGTCTTAATAACGTTGGCGGGTATTTGAAGTTGAACGGGTTTGACAATTCTCGTCGCATTAGGTACAGTTCCTGGCCGGCACAAAGTGATTCTAGTGGCCGAATATTCCTCCACTAGTTCTCCGTTCTGCTCCGTAATTTTTGGTTTGCCTTGGAGAGCAGCCGCTAGAAGCGCACTCATCTTATTTTGAATAACCGTTTCTTTGACCAAGCTGATTTGCTCGTGAGTGGACCCGGTGATCCTAAAAAGTTGCCGGGTGCTGCTTCCTGGTGGGATTAAACTCACTGTCTGGCCTACAGGCACCTGTCCACGAAATATCACGTTCCCAGCGATAGGCTGTACATTGGCCGGTACTGTTTTAGCCGCGGCTTTTTTCGTTTCTAAGTTAGTAGTCGACTGCGTAGGCTCAGCATTGTCTACTGCCGATGGCGTGGAAGTTTCGCCATTTCCTTCGTCAGAACTGCCACTAGTTTGATATATAGTCTTGCCAAAAGCCTGTTGAAATTTTGGAAGGGACGAACTTTTACAGATAAACTGTAAAATAGTACCGGCCTGGCTTGGGGTGGTAGTAGCAACAGTAGTGGTATCAGTGGCTGGTGCAGCAGTAATTGCAATTTTTACATTAGCACTGACAGGCTGGACAGGTTCGCTATTTCCGTCCGAATCCACTTTGATAACAGTTGCCGGCTGAAAGAGAAAAATATTAAAATCTTAGGGATGGCCACCAAATGATGAAAAGTAGCGGCGAAAAATGACAAGGCATATTATTTTCATAGACCTAAGTTGTAAACAATTGAGTTGGATAGGAGAGTAATACCAAAGTTATTTCGATTTCCGGAAATGGGACGCAAAACTCTGCTTAGAAAAGAAAAGAGTAGTTCTGATTGACTGAGCGATAATATACTAAGGGATATATGAAAAACATAAAAACATGTGTATGTAAAAACAGAATAAACTGATTATCAAATATATTTACCTGAGCAGATGTGTTGGATGGGGTGTTTGGCGAGGCGTTTGAGAAAATCTTTGTTGGTTTGCGCACTGGTTGGTTGGGCTGCTTTATAATCTGCTGAGAGAGGATATTGATGAAGGGCGCCTGCCTCACAGCCGCAGCAGTTCTTTGGCCTGGCATAATTTGGGAGTTTAGGATGTTTATCAGAGTGGGGGACTGAGACGTTGAAGGCTTTGGGTTTTGGGCGCTCACAGGTGTAACACTAGAGGCAGACTGAGCCTGTTCCGAGGCCGATTCTGATTTCTGGTCGGGCAGTTTTGGCTGACCAATCCTCTGGATGTGAGGGCTAACTTGGGTGCTGGTTTGCATATTTTGATTGGCAACCGTCGAAGCCCTGGTGCTAGAAACTTGAACGACGTTCACAACTTGGACTGTGCTGCCAGGCCTCACTTCTGAGAAGTCGTTCAATCCAGGTACATTTCGTAGCACAGACCTAACAGATTGGTCTTTATTTTCAGGCTCTACCAAAACAATCTTAGGCGTGCTAGTAAAACTGATGCTCTTTTTTATAAACGCGCTTATGTTATCGTTTAGTCTGGTTTTCAAGATTCCCTTTAACCTACTCGCATGTGAATGGGTCGCGTCATCGTCCTCGCTCACTAGAATGAACTGCAGCTCACTAGAGGGACGATAATTTTCATCGGGCGAACTGAAACCATCCCTGTTGATGCAACCCTTGCGCTGTATTCTGTCCGACAAGTTCTTCGTGCGAAAACCATACTCTAAAAACCTGCTCGGCGGGCCATTCGTGCAACCTGGAAGACATTCAAATAGCGCTTCTGAGATTGTGGCAATCGTTGAAGATTGGTCGGTCTGGGAATCAAGTTCCTGATCCAACTTGAAGCAGGGGACGCCTTGATGTTTCCGTCTGTGCCTGTTCTTGTATTTCTTTAAATTTGACTCAATTTTGTGTTTCCTCGTTGTCGCTGACGAAAGTAAAGAGGTTGCGCCACTTTTGGATTTTTCTATTGAGCTAGAGCTTGCTATGGCGCAAGAGGAAGAGCTAAGGTCTAAATCCTTTGGAGCCACCTTAATATTTTCTTTGTCGGTTTCGGACATATCCTCAACATCGTCGCTGGAAAGAATGAATTGACGACTATGACGAGAATTTTTTATAGGTTCAAATATTTGTAGAGGTTTCGAAACATGTTCTGGCAGAAAGACAGTTCGCCACTTTGATATAAAGGCTTCCTTAGGTCTTGAATAATCGTGCCACAGAGGAACATAGCTAAAGAGTTCTCGTCTGCCTTTTTTCCTTTTCTTTCTCTCTTTGAATGTAGAAATTTTGCCATACCTCTTAACTTTCTTGGCGACATTTTTTTTCTTTCCATTCACTCGTTCGTATTTTCCATAGTTATCGCGGGCTAAAAAACTAAATTCTGGCTGACTTTGAAAAATTTGTAAAATATCAAGAGACGTTATTTGTTTCATCTTCGGAGTATTGTTGGGCACATACGCGCGTCTGATTTGAGCTACTTGATCCGAGTTCGAAACTTCTCTAACATTGGGAAGATCAGTCGGATCATTGTCTATGCTATCCACAACTTTCTTCTCGCAAAGTCCATTTTCATTATTTTGAACATTAAATATATTATCACAGCACGGTTCAGTATTTACATTTTCACTATCCACTGATAAACTTATATTTCCTTTATTGCTGTTTGATTGCCTTACTTCAGAAACCTGCAAACTTACACCCGAGTTATCGCTTGTAACTATACATTCTTGGCAATCTAAAGTGGCGTCGGGCATGAGCACGCCGTCGGCGACAGTTTCATCGTCAGTCTTGTTCTGCGAACCCTCAGAGTGCCTTGCAACAACAGTCTTGCTAGAACCGTCGCCAGCCGCAGTTCCTTCATCATCAGTCTTTTGATTCTCTTTAGTTTGTATAATCAGATGGCTTTTATCTTTGTCACAATCCGCTGTTATTTGGGTTGTTGTTTTCGGGGTATCCGCTGGGGTGCAGGTAGTTCTTTCCCGACTTATCCGCTTGTGCTTGGCATAGTCTGGCTCGTTCTTGTGAACGCTGCTTGTGAGCGGACATTGCCGATTTTTGACTAGATTCGTACTGGCACAAGTCTGTTCCAAATCCGACGGCGTGGCTTGGCTGCTGTTCAAGGCTCGACCGCCAGTTTCCTGGGCCACAACTTCCGTCGTTTTTGAAGGCCGAATTATTACGGATGTTTCCAGATGTGTCGGGCTTCTTGCCGGTGGAATTTGCTGGTCCGGAAAGGGCCGAGTCGTAGAAAGAGGCGCGCTCGAAGGCTTCCCTTGTGTAGATGACCGTCCCTTTTGGCAGGTTAATCGTTCGGATGTTGTCGCTGGACCAAGTGCGTGGTTTAGTTGAAACCGAGAAAGCAGCCTGGCTGGAATTCCCTCTAAACGGATCACTATTTCGCGCGGCAGCGAGTGATCTTTCAGGTATTGCAACGGCATCCGGCCCTTTGTTACTTCCATCGATATTTCCGGTTGTAACGTTGGGCCTTTTGATATAGGCGTTGGCGGTTCCGGCGCGGTGCCACACTGCTTGGCCAGAGCCGGCGTGTACGTCCCTGCTGTCTGGTTTGGGGACTTGCCACGACGTTCTGCACTTCTGAGCCTGTTTCTCTGCTTCGTTTTGCATTCTCCTTTGGTACCACTGGGCGAGGACGTTTCCTGCTGTGATTTCGTCAGGAGATTGTGCGATATTTCCGTCACTTGGATTAACTGGTGCTCTTTGATCGCCACTTGCCCACCAAGCTGGGGCAACGTGGCAGCTACTCCGTTTTTTGACTCCGTACTCGATTTGTGTAGGTCCGATTCAATTTCCTCAGCCGCCTCCTTAATTACATCGTCCAGTGTTTTCACAGGGCGAGGAATCTGCTTCTTCACGGCCCTCAGAGGCATTTGGTTCTGCGCCGGTTTTCTAAAATCTAGCGAGTAGCTGTTTGTCGCGCCCTGTGCAGGTGAACTTACAGAAGAACTGGGGCTCACTTTGGGTACGCCGTAAGTCAAATTGCTTTTAATAATATTTGACACGTACTCCGTGGAGGTGCCGCTGCTCAAGCTAGAGCTAAAAACAGAGTTGCTCTGATCGACTGCACTAGTTGTTGACGGATGAGTCTTTTCCAACTTTGGAGGATAACAGCGCAAATTAGTACTTCTATTTAAAGCGAATTCCAAGCAAGACTTGGCCATGTTACTGCTGCTTTGGCTTGAGAACTGTCCAGAGGGTTCCAACAACACTGACGTATAAGCGTTGTAATTACTTAGGTTAGTTACTGACGAAGTTAGAGTGGGATAATTACTGGCGAAAGCCGACTGAAGATATGCGAGATTTTGTGGCGCCTTAGCATTAGCTGGTTCTGCATACATTTTACTACTAGAAGCACCGGAAGCGGAAGAAGTGCAGGAATTTTGGGAAGAGGAATAGTTGCCAACAGTCAACGCAGCAGAATCGGGTGTTGTAACTCGTTTCTCGGGAACAGTGACTTCTGATTCTTCCTTTTTCCTTTTGAGATTAGGTCGGAACATTCTGAGACTCTTGAGGGTATTCGGATCAGACCGGGGCTGGAGCGGAGGTATATAAGGTTCGCCAGTACCATCACTGCCCATGCCCCGGTACTTGTCATGAGACATCGAGTCTTCGCTAACTGAAGACGTTTCCTCATCGGACACGAAGTTTAGGTCCAAATACTGTTCGTAACCCTTCTCTATTCCCGTATATTCGTCAACAGGCTCCCGCTTGATGTGCTCGAACAAGGAGTAATCGACGTCGACGAACTTGAGCTCGGTCACGAAGTTCTTGGTCTTTTCTGGGTCGTTCAAATACATAATGCAAAGCCTGTACAGGTCGCTCCACGACAGCAACCAGCTGAGGATCTGATAGCGGGGATTGGACAAGCAGACCACCAGATCGTCGCACAGGGCTTCTGAAATGCCCAAAACGGACTCTTGGAGCGCCTCGTGAAGAGCCAAGTTCATTTTTAGCGGAGCACTCAGTTCTGGTTTGCACATCCATTCTCCACACTCTGGACAAGTCCAGGCGATATCGTCGGATGGTAAAGCAGGCGGATGGAGCCGGCATTTCCATTCCTGTCCTAACAATATAAGTCAAACTGTCAATAAAGATCGCTATACCTGTACGGGGTCCCAGTGCAAGTTTACAATTTTTTCATCATATTCACGTGTTTCTTTTAATAACGATTAGAGATCTAATTGTGAGTTTAAGTGAAAACTTAATATTAAATAGGTCTGAAAAACAACAAATAGCTTCAGTTCCTTATTATTTTAAGCATTATTTTTAGTATTATATTTAATGAGTTTTATGACAAACTCTATCTGATGCTTTAGACAAAGCTCAGTTTTTTTAATATTTTATGTAACTGGGACCTCTGCACATATATTTCACTTTTTCTTCGAGAAATAATATTACAATTTTTTCGCAATATGTTTATTTCTAAAATTTATTTAAACCAAAACAACCAAGATAAAAGTATCTGAACAGAGTTTTTCTAAACTTTCTTGGTTAGGAGCCATTCAGATATCAATTTTTTAGAATAAACCTCTATATTTAAAAACTAAACTACATTTTAAATCTGCATTTGAATGGACAATTCCATACTTGTTTTTAGCATAATGTATAATATATATAAATATTACTATAAAAGAGTACATTGTATTGCTTCTGAAAAATAAAAAAAAAAAAATGTTTCATAAATAAAGCCAGAAAAACGATATGAGGAATCTGACAAGTTTTTACTGGTGTTTGGTATGTCACAATAAAATACCCATTATTTTTTTTTTGGAGGTTTACAACTATAATAAAAAATGTTTAGATACTAGTGTAATCTACACTTAGATAAAAAAAAAAAAGTAACGGAGAAATTTTAGAATTAAAGTTGATATAATGATATAAATCTTTCTAAAAAATTCATAAAAAAGTGCTAAAAATAACAAAAATATGACACTTTAAATTTGATCAAAAATTTCTCCGTTGCGTTTCTTTGCATCTGAGTGTATATTAAAATAAATATAGCCACAAAAGGACCAATTTTGAATAATTAGCATACCTGTATCTAATACTGGAAATCCACTTGTGCGTGCCAACTCTTCAATTTTCTTCAATCTGTCTTGAGTCGGTTCTAGGCTGAAAGCAGTTAAAACACATTCCCTGGCTACCTTCACGTGATCGTTTAAGAGATCAGCCAGGCTTGTGAACGTATTGGCAAGCCTTGATGTGGTGAGCTTAACTTTGTCTTCTTCGTTAACATGCTTCAAGCGCTCTAATTCATTCATATCTGTTGTTAGTGCCCGAATATACATTTCTATGGCAAAATGCCTTAGCACATTAGCAGCCTGGAACAAATTTTGTACATTCAGTTTTAATTAAAAAAATTTTAGATTGGTACTACCTCTTTATGTATGATTTCGCACATAACACAAAGACCAGCAGCATCTGCTAAGTTAGTAATACTTCTAATGGACACCACAAACTCTTGCAAGAGAGTGTCAGTATTGGAGAGTGTGAGATATGTTTTTAATAAATCTATTAGATATACTTTCAGGTCCTCATTATATTTCATTAGAGCCTTGGATAAAAAAAATCTACAGCCAAAAATAGCAATTTTGTTGCAATTCCGCCAAATCTTTGATATTTGTACTCTTTTCTTTGCAAATCTTTTGATCAGACAAACTCCCTCTTCCAATTGAAGCTCTTCAAACTGTACAAAGAAAAAATAATCATACATTTCTTCAACAATATTCAGACAACTTACTTGTTGAATAATCTTGTTTTTGTCTTGAAATTTGTGGAGTAGTGCTACATAAATGTCAAAAATAAACCATAGCTGAGTTTCAGTTGCATTTAAATTATAGTTTTGGGTAATTGCTAATTTCTTGTATTTCAAAAAATTTGAAACTAGATTGAGGGCTAGATCTTCACAATGATTCTCGCACAACTTTTTGAGCCTTACTGATACCAGGTATGCTGTCTCAACACAAAAAAATTCAATTTCTGCAAAGTAATATATGCCATTAGACAAACCTTCAAACAATTGATATTATAGTACCTTTAGGGCCGATTTCTACATCTCTTTCTTGAATTAAATTAGTTAAAACTGGATCTTCCCATGGTTTTTTTACTACATCGGCTAACTTTTGACAGCGGCTTGAAAAAGCATCATTAACAATTGCCAGATTAGCCTGGGCTTTTTCAATATTGTCTAATAGAATATTTTTGTCTGCCTCTGTAATGTCAGAAATTATGGAATCTATTGAGCAAAACAACCACTCAGTTTATACCTGGAATAGTTCGCCATTCTCCTGTAAGGACTATATTCAAGGCATGTAATTTAGCCCAATCAATGATTTGTATAACATATCGAATATCAAATTGTGATAAGTTCAATTCTGAAATACTTCTCCACACATCTATTAGAGACTGGACTTTGTTTTCAAAACTTTCTGACTTATCATTGAGAATTGAATCATACTTCTGCAATGCAAACAATTCTACATTTAGTCATTATTTCATAAATAAACTATTTTTAATTTTCGCAAAACATAAACAACTAAGTAAGGAAACTTGTCCTTTTCAAAATAAATATAATTCATTAATCCCCAAAAAATAAATTACATAATTAAAAATGGTATTTTTTAACAAGCATCTAATCTATCACTTATACACACATTAATTTTCTAAAAGAGCAAACGTGATTTCATAATTTTTAAAAACATGCACACATTTGTAAAAAATCCTAGAGTTAATAATAATTGACTGTTATTTCTTCAACCATTTAAGATTAATAAAGACAAGAGAAGATTAAATATACAGGAAGTATAGATGTGTTTCAGTATTAATTTGGTTACAATTGGCTTTAATATTATTATAAAAATGGTAATAAGCAGTCAGATATACATTTAAGAATGAGTATATATTTAACATTCATTCCACAGACCAGTTACAACTAAACAGACCCAAAATGTATACTAAACAGAGAAAAGAAAGCGATTAACTCATAAACAATTCCATTAATAGAAGCATAATCTAGGTTTTACCAGTAAGATTTAAAAAATACCACAATATATATATTTTGAACTCAGCACTTTTGTAGATTTAAGAGGTCTACTTATTTGCTTGTCAGTTGTTGAGTAAGATATTAAGCTATATACAGGGTCTAAATAAGTACAAAGAAATCAGATGAATTGATCTTTGACATAAAATTCTTTGAGTTTCCATTTTCCCATAAGTTATTTACCAATGTAACGTGGATCAAAATCACAATTTTATGGAAAAAAATGTGGTGAATGAATGACAAATACAGAGTGTTTACCTACTCCACATGCAATTGATTTATTATACCTATAGCATATAACTAATAATCAATTTCAAGACTTTCTCTCACAGTATTGGGAAACTTTTAGGTTCACCCTGTACAGGCAAGTAGCTTGGAAAAACAAAAAAGAAAAAAAATGAGAAAGTAAAGCATGAGGAAAAAAACTATTACCTTATGATTTTCTTTGCACTTGTTCATTTACACACTGTATATGTACTGTAACTAAAGACCTGATGTTTAATTACTTATTTAATTAAACCTTAGTTAACAACTAATAAGTATTTAAAACTCAGGAGAAACACTTTTATTTTAAATAATCAAGTTGTATTCGCCTTATAAATGTGGAGAAACTAGTTAAAAGTCCCTAGCATGTATCAAATAAATTAAACACCATGTAATAACGAGAACACGTATGATGTGGAAATATGTTAAAGATTAATGAAATCACTTTTGCCCGTGGTACAAAAATATAAAAAAATAAAAGGGTACGTGCTTTGAAAGGCGTATAACAAATATCTTCATTTACAGAACTCATCTCTGGACAAGCAATTAAACAAACAAGCTCCAAAACTATTAAAAAGTGTCGTAATTTGGCAAGGGGTAATTCACGGGATCCCGGACACTATTTAATATCAGTCTACAAGTTAACTAGCTGTATTTCACTCGAACATTATTATATTCGGCACAGGAATTCTTCGGTTTTTTCGGAGGTGACCCGACGAAACATGGCGGCCATGCGAATATACAACTATACACTTTTATTTCACAGTAAACATGCGAGAATTAAATAACTAATAGAATTAGAAGCACGAAAATTCCAAATTTTCACCTTATAAACGTTAAAGTAGTATCTTTCTTGTTCTTTGTTTATATTAGAAATACACTCGAGGTTGTTATCTTCCTCCTGAGACGCCATATTTACACCAAAAAACTGCACGCAAATGCTTCTATCATGCGCATGACTTTTAACAGGGCCTGACAGGGCGGCAAATTTAGATTATCGCCTTAAGATTAAAAAAGGGCTTTAAAATATATTATAAATAAGTAGTTCGAATTATAAAATTAAAGCTAAGTAAACAATTTCTACTTGGCAAACCTTAACGTAAAAAAAGCCTTTTAAATATTTTAAAAGTCCCATCAGATTAATGATACAGAAAACGTCTGCTTTAATAATCCTACTAGTTACAATTTTCTCCAACAGGTGGATTCTGAAGGTTGGTAACGTAATAGTATCGCTCCTATCAGACAGATGGCAAAACATGTTTTATTTTAAAAGGATTTTAAGATTTTTAAGTTATGATTTTAAGTGTGCAAGCTACGGGGGATTTTAAAAACAACTTTTATGGACCCCTGAGGCAGTTATGAAATTTTGAGGGCAGCGATTTGTTTTTTTTATAATATTTAACAAATAATTATTATTTGAGAATTGGGTAATGTAAATGATGATTAAAATCGTGGTAGATTCGAAATAATGTAAAATAAATAGTTATTAAAAAGTTGCCAGCAGTGATGGGCGGTGAGTAAAAAAAATACCCAAAAAAAGTAAATATTATATATACAAAGTAAATACCCACCGGGTAGATAAATCAAATTTGGGAATATACCTGATACCAGAGAAGGCGTAGGGGTATTTACCCATTTAGGAATATTGTAGATATATACCTGGTATATTCATGGTATTATACCGGGTATTTGCTTTGCGGTCGTCGGGGAATACTCTTATAAAATTGCGATATTCGCCTAAATTGCTCCGTCGGTGTTGTGCCGTCGTTACTATAGTGATTTTATTTTTTGAGGAAAATTGCTTCTTAACCTCAAGGGCTTATGCTCACAGATATCCAAATAGGAATCTTCTTGATAGCGTTCCTTTGAAAAACTACTTGTCCTATTTCGCATTTTTTGCTAAAATTTTGAGAACCGCTGGATTTTTTCTGGATTTTCTTTCTTGTAAACTTAATCTAATACCACAGATTAACACCTATGGTGCCATATTATGAAGAAATTATGTTTTTTTAGCTAAAAAATAAAAAAAATTCCAAAACATTTTTCAAAAAATTTCGAATTTTCAAATTTTTTTTTTGCGAAAAAAATCTCATAGGCGTGTTTCTTTGGTTGAACTATACTACCAGTTAAAATACTTGCACTTATTTCTGAGACACCCTGTATATTTGATAGAAAGCTATCAGATATACAGGGTGTTGCTTAATGATATGCTAATATTTATGGGGGTGATCCTTGAACCTATTTTAAGAAAAAAACTTCATATATATGACCTAAACATTTTAAATTTGAGATACAGGGTGGTAAAATTTTCTAAAAAAATTTTTTTTTTCCTAATAACTCTGAGGTTATTGTAATTATTTAATGAAATTTCATTCACGTCTTCTATGCATAAAACTGTTATTTTTTTGTTATATCTGATGCTACCATCCGATATCTGATATACCATCCGATGCAGAAACGATTTCCGCACAACAGTCACAGCATCAGATTTTCAACGATTTGATCGTGAAGTAAAATGACTTTTATTTTTTTAGTATTGAAAATACTTCTGGCCGCGTTTATATGGGACCCATCTTTGAAAAAACGACATGCTCGATGCTACACGAGTTCAATAACCTGCCTAATCAACTTGTCAACACGTAAGTCGATAGTTTAGCTGCCGGTGATCATCGAAGGACGTTTGAAGGCCGAAATGAGGTCTTATTAATTTATCAGTGTGTGTGTGTGTGTTTGTCTGGGCCGGCGGATAAAGAAAGCCCATATTATTATAAAAAAGAATATGCTTCAAGGCATATGGGTCGTTAGGTACAGTTTGGCTATTTTAATCTGACTCTTTCCGTATGAGAAGCAAGGGGCAAATTATACGTGAAAGAGTGGAATCACATAAATAATAAATTTAGACTAATGCAATATTTTTTCTTGGCGCGTAGGATAGGTAAATGCATTAAAGGGAATAATTAATTAAATCATTAAGTTCCAAAACATAATAACTCGGATCTCATCGGATCTGTTGATGCATTTTGGCTAAATTTACGCTATTAGGGACCTATATTTTTTATGATTATTATTTTTTAATTAACAACTTAGGCCAAAGCTTGCATGGTTTCCAGACCGCCAATAGGCGTAAAAACACATCCAAGGCGTTGCCAAATATTTATTGGCTAAGATTTTATCCTTGAATATTGTTGTAAATAATAATTATCATTTAATTAGTGCTAACTTCTCAAAGTTCACAACATGGAGAAATTCCCCAACAAAATCGGCCAACGAATCTTTGGGATATTAAAAAAAAGATCTATCAGAAAACACCTGACACCTTGTATCTTTAAAATTATACATTTCCGGACACATGTTTATATGAACTTTTACCTTGGGTGACCTGCCAAAGAATCACCTCCTGAAGTTTGACCAGATACTTAATTAACACGCTCTATTTAAAGATGACTAGCTAGTGATCTAGTAAGCTATGTTTATTTATCGGGAAAAATAATACATTCTATAAAAAATAAACAAACTCATAATACAAATAATTATACACTAACAATTCATTTTTAAATGTATCTAAATAGGCACTTTAATAACTGAAAATGATCAGGAGCACTTAAAATCATTTCATAGATATACCAAATATGCAAAAAAATCCAATAAAAACCACAAATGGCACATTAAAATTGCATTATCTGAACTCAAACTATACCTAAACGGCTAATAAAATACTGACAAGACTAAATAAAAGTAACAAGACGCCGACATCGATAACGCGATGAGCAGTTTTAAATAATTATTATATTATTCCAATTTAGTTATTATTACATACGTGTTTTACAATTATTGTAATACAGTAGCATTCCTTCAAATAAATTTTAATTTAAGTATTGTTAATATAGTCATATTAATTATTATTATGATGATTTCTATGTATATTGTACGTATGATTTCTTCTATGTACGTATGATTCTATGTACGTATGATTTCTGAAATAAAAAAATCAAGCGTGTTTTTATCAGAATTATTAAATGATTAAAAATAAGTAGAACTAGTTAATATTTATTAACTTCGTAAGTGTTATATTTTAATATAATTAGGGACTATCTTAAGTTTAAATTATGGTAAACTTGTATGAGTTTCAATCATTTATATTTAAAAGGTTAAGAAAGACAATATAGATTTTAGGCAAGAGGGAAGCCAATATGGGGGGAAGGACTGCGTAACTGGTAATTAAAACTTAACAATTTTTTTTTACTTGATATTTTTCTGGTCGTTCACGTTGCACTTTAACTCTTCGTTGTGTCACACACAATCTAAATTTCGGATATGATGCAGAACTGATAAATTGGATTAAATATATTAATTGCAAGGTATGCAAAGAAATATTTTTGCTAACTTTGCAAATACATAAGGCATGCAATAATTTTAAAAAATTTTGACGTGAGATTACTTCATAATTCTTGGAAGTATTGAATGATAAAGATTTGAATTATTATGGTTCTGTTTTGTTTAAGAAGCTAACAAATAATTTCAAAAACTCAACTATCAAAATATATTGGTAGCAAATTTTTAAAAGTATGCATAGTCATAATGTTCTTTATTAATTGGACATACTGAATGTAAACTAGGTATAGTTGTTGCAATCGATAATATATTTTGCTGCTTATTTTCAGCACAACAAAATCCGTTATGATTTATCGATTTATCGATTTATCGATTTATCGATTTATCGATTTATCGATTTATCGATCATCGACTCAATCGACTCCATGCATCGTACCTACGCACTCAGCGCACCATGCACTACGCACTCATTTACCTACGCATCTACACTCAATGCACTACTTACCCACGCACTACGCACTTACGCATCTGCCACTCACGCACCCACGTTAATTCACTAATCTTACGCACCATGCCAATCTCACGCACCACGCACCACGCACCCACGCACTACGCACCACGCACCACGCACTACGCACTCCACCACGCACCATTTAATCTACGCACCACGCACCACGCACCATTTAATCATTCACATCTATAAGACCTACGCATCTACGCACTCACATCTACATCTACGCATCTCATTATCTACGCACCTACGCACTTGCTAATTCACGCACCATGCCATTCACGCATCTACGCATCTACGCACTCAGCACTACGCATCTACGCATCTACGCACTACGCACTACGCACTACGCACTTACGCACTACGCACTCCAGCACTACGCACCTACGCTACCTACGCACTACGCACTACGCATCTACGCACTACGCACCTACGCATCTACGCACTACGCACTACGCATCACGCACTACGCACTTACGCATCACGCACTCACGCACTCACATCTACACCTACGCACTCACGCACTACGCACTCCACGCACTACGCACTACGCACTACGCACCACGCACTATTTACCTACGCATCTACGCATCTACGCACTACAGCATCTACGCACCTACGCACTTATATCTACGCATCTACGCACCTACGCACTACGCACTCATGCACTACCACCTACGCATCTACGTACTCATACCTACGTTATTTACTCATGCATCTATTAATTATTTATTTCCACTATCAATCAATCAATCAACTAATCAATCAACTCATCTATCTATCTATCTATCTATCTATCTATTACTCATTAGCTACCTGATTCCTTACTGACTCCATCGACCTTACCGATCTTACTTCCATTTTATTTATTTATTTATATATTTATATATTTATATTTATATATTGATTTATTGATTTATTGATTTATTGATTTATTGATTTATTGATTTATTGATTTTATTGATTTATTGATTTATTGATTTATTGATTTATTGATTTATTGATTTATTGATTTATTGATTTATTGATTTATTGATTTATTGATTTATTGATTTATTGATTTATTGATTTATTGAT